GTGTGAGGCAGCTTGGTTTCCAAACAGGACTCACATTTACTCTTGTACGGTAGTAGAGCATCACAGCAGGGATACCAAGATACCTGTCATTTCTAGTTACAGTCTACATTATTCAACCGCCAAATTAGGTTTATTGGCAAAATGTACAAACTTTCAGCTGTTTTCAATAAACAACTCAAACAAGGACAATTTAGATAGCTCAAAACAACTAATACTACAACTGGTTTCTCCTAATTCAACACAAAATGCCACTTTTAATGACTACTGTAGTCAAGAGAATTGTCCAAAAAGAGATCATTGCCTTGCACAAACAAGGAAAAGGTAGCGTCTGTGTCTTACAAAAAGGAGGGGCTATGACATGTGGCACAACTGATGGCACAGATGTCATATATTTCTATTTAACAGACAGAGTGTGTGGAGAGAGAGAGAGAGAGAGAGAGAGAGAGAGAGAGAGAGAGAGAGAGAGAGAGAGAGAGAGAGAGAAATATGAAGGCCTTTATATATGTTATTGTGTATATAAGTACGATACAAATAAAGAGTGACATGTGGTTGAGTGACGAACAGTTAACATTTGTAGAGTCCTTATTTTTCCAGCTGTGTCACGCCTCTTTTATGTCGCGGCAGCTATAAAGACTTCTGGAAAGAATAAACTGGTGTTTCCTCTCTCTCAGCTCCTCCATAAGCCTCCTCGCTCCTCATCTCCTCGAGGTGCATCTAAGCGATTAGAAGATCCTCCATGATGGCGGAGGGGAAAATATTTCTAGGTCAAGCGAGGAAAGATGATGCGAGGACACGAGGAAGACTAACTTATCATATTGAAAAGCATCCATGGTTCCTGTGCTTTCCCTGCCTTGACAAGTCAAAATGCCTGCCATGTCCACTGCTCAGTTAAAACCCTTCTACACAGAGACATAACTTGTTTGCATGTAGCCATTCAAAACATTTCATTTAAAAAGGACACTACTGTTTAAATTCCTGACTTCACCTCTCCCCTCTGGTAATTTCAAAAATGAAAAAGGTACAAAGCAATGGGTGCTGCTTTTGGAGTGCACAGGTTTGGGATAATACTGAAAGCCAAAAGTTGTCAAGATATTTCACTGTGAGCCACAAATGTCAACCTGCTGGTGGCGCTAGAAGAACAGTCAGGGTAGACCAATCACCAAAGGTCATAAGATTCATCCTCTGGGGACCATGACTGTACAAAATGTTATGGCAATCCATCCAGTCGTTTTAATATTTCAATCTGGGCCAAAGTGATGGACCAACAGGATGAAGGGAGATTAAATGATGGCTGAATAAATCTGAAACAAACTGTCTGTATTGATGAGTTAATGGCTTTTTACTGAGGAGAATCAAGTTATCACAGCAAACAAGGACAACGTGCTGCTCGGCTCAAGACAACCTTTAGCTCCGTAGTGTCAGTTGATGCCTCAGAGCTCCTCTTGCATGTGGTGTGTGAATACTATGGTGATTTACCGCTCACAAATTGGTGCAAAGGGAAGTTTAAAGCCAAATTCTGGAAAACAAAACAGCATGGAACACAAGGAATACAAGAAAAACTCCACTTACTGGCATTTGGAACAAGAAACACTGGTCAAACTGGATCCGTTGCGCAGTATGGTTAATTTCCTGATCAGCCAGTCAGCTCTCATTCCTCACAGCATTGTAACACAAAACATTTGCCTTTAGACAATGTAATCACTTTTACCACATTACATTTTATGACTTATGCTATTTCTGCCAGGTTTGAGGTCTGCCACAACACTTTGCAAAACCTAAACAGGAGTGGTTTTTGGTGGTTTGCCATGTAAATGATAATAGTGCAGTACAGCCTGTTGTGTTGTCATTTTGACAAACGAACAATAGAGTATGATCACTTGTCATGGAAACACATTGATTGTGCTGTTGCTGATGATATTAGTCATGCGGTTTCTTGAAAACTCGATGGCAGCATGTGTTTTCACAGATCCGGGAAAAGGGGAGCTAATATTCTCACATGCAGGCATGTAATTAACCTTTATGTTCTACCATTTCAATCAACAGTTCCCACTGTGTCTTGGACTTTCCCCTCAGCTGAAGAATTGTATTATTACTTTTTCTTTCTTTCTACATACATTCAAAGTCCTTAAAATATACCCAGCAATCATATAAGTATATGATGCTCAATGCAATGCAACTGATCAATGTTGAAAACTAATCCTTAAAAATCAAATAGCCGCAATTAATGCAATGCATGCCAACATCATATAATACCAAATTCCCCTTGCACAATCTAATGAAGTAAGACTAAATGATGTGGATATACTTCATCACACAGTGTTTTTACACTGTGTGTGGGAATATTTGATAATGCTAGCCACTCATTATTTGTGTTGGTCATCTGTTATTTCAAGGCTGAAGGTTTTTACAGTGCCATTAGTGGTGATTCACCAAAAAGTAGTTTTTGCAACTGCAAATAAACAAAAATGTTGGTTAATTAGATCGCTTTATTTTGTAATTAACTATATTTCAAGGCAGCAGCAGAGACAAAGCAAGAGCAATTGATGGAAAATTATAATAATTGAACAATCAATTTATAGTATTTTATTTCAAAACTGAAATATGTTGAGCACATTTCAAATATTCCTATATTATTATTATCTTTTTCCCCTTCTTCTTACCACTTAGTATTCGGGTTTTTAATGCCATGAATCAACACGCTCTGAAACAGTATTTGGCGCTATGCATCTTTCTTACGTTGCTGGCTGCTTTGCGATCCGCAAATAAACACAGAGAAGAAGAAGAAGAAGAACTTTGTTTCCGGTTTGGCTGCAGCGCGATACCAGCGCGGGAGATTCCGGCATGGCGGTGCAGCCGAAACAGAACCTGTCTCTGGACAGTGCAGCTGAGCATGGCTTTCTCAGCTTCATTTCCTCCATGCCGAAGAAACCGGACACGACTTTCAGAATATTCGACCGCAACGATTACTACACTGTTCACGGAAAGGACGCCATATTCGCGGCGAAGGAAGTTTTCAAGACGAATGGGGTCATCAAATATTTGGGCTCAGGTAATCTCGCCTCTATAGCCGAAGCTTGCAAACTGGCAGCAGCAGGCTGCATAGAAGCTTAGCTGTAGCTAAGCTAGCTACGAATGCATGCATTAGCTGCTAGTCATGCTAGGTACTGCATAGCTAGTTTAAATGTAGTCGCACTGACGGGTTGTTTTTTATCATTAACGTGGGCTTGTTGGTCTACAGGGAGTCGCAAGCTGGAGAGCGTGGTGCTGAGCAAGCTGAACTTCGAGGCCTTTGTTAAAGACTTGCTGCTGGTGAAGCAGTACAGAGTAGAGGTGTACAAGAACCACAGCAAGAGCAGCAAGGAGCACGACTGGAAGATCGACTACAAGGTATTGTGTTGGTTGTCGAGGAGTGTCGGTGTGTTTTCTGTCTGTTAAAGACTCATCTACCATTTTAAATGTAGGTGAGCCATGTTGTTGTCCCTACTTTCCTTGTGCCAGTGCTCCATTATGTATAATGGAGCACTGGCACTTAGCAGAGGCCCTGTACTGTATATAAAGTATGGACAAGTCATCATAATTTGAATTGGTCTGATCAGTGTATGGATCTATGCAAACACATTAATGTTAATAGTATGATAAAAGTCCAACATAGTCCCAAAATGTTAAACGGCAGACATGAAACAGCTTAAAACAAGTTATCCGCTGGTCTTTACCATGTCAATTTAAAGGTGATAATATGTCAATTTCGTGTTCACAACTTGTTTCTGCTGCCTCCAAGTGGTCAAAATATACCAATAAAATAAAGGCTTGTTTCTCCGTCTCCATCTGTCTGTTGCCTCTCGTCCGTCTGGCTCATTTCCTCCACTCTCAGGCCTCTCCAGGAAACTTGACTCAGTTTGAGGAGATCTTGTTCGGTGGTGGAACCGGAGCAGTGGGTTGTGCAGGAGTTGTAGCCGTGCGGTTTGCCACCGGAGCTGACGGACAGCGCGTGGTCGGGGTCGGCTATGTGGACGCAGCCCAGAGGACGATGGGAGTGTGCGAGTTCCCAGACAACGAGATCTTCTCCAACCTGGAGTCCCTTCTGGTCCAAATCAGTCCCAAAGAGTGTCTCTTGGCCCAGGGCGAAGGCAACACCGACGGCAGTAAACTACGGGAGGTATGTGTGTTTAGTGGATTGTGTTTCATCAGATGTCAGCATTCTTTAACGGCCACTAACGGTACAGGCCGAAGTATTGTATGAGTACATTGTGCGATTACGGCGTTAAGAGGACATTGTGGTTATCGTGTGTTTGTTTAGGTGGTGCAGCGCGGCGGCATGCTTATCTCGGACAGGAAGAGGGCGGAGTTCAGTAGCAAGGACATGGTCCAGGATCTCAACAGGCTGCTGAGGGCCAAGAGAGGAGAGACCGTGGCGAGCAACACGCTGCCTGAGCTGGACAAGCAGGTGAGCAAAAAGAAAGAGATCCCCCGACGATTCCACATGGCATCGTACAAACATATAGTCATCGTATGAAGAAATGGGTCATTGAGCCTTTTTGTGCCCTCCAGCTGTTTTAAATATGGTGGTTTCATTCACAGGTGGCCATGTCGTGCTTGGCCGCAGTGGTGCGTTTCCTTGAACTGCTCTCTGACGAGTCCAACTTCAACTCCTTCAGTCTCACCCCACTGGACCTGGGTCAGTACATGAGGCTGGACAACGCTGCCGTGAGGGCTCTGAACCTCTTCCAGGTCAGTGACGGGGCCTCACACTTTCCCCTAATTAACGAAAGGGTCAGTTCACCCAAATCACCAAAAAACAACCACTGTCTTTCTCACCAGTCATGCATGTAGTTTTGATTTTATTGGCGTTCCAGGACGGTGTTTACTGAGCCTCTTGTTTTGCTGCTGCTGGCGCATTTTCTATGGTTGTGGATGTCACAGGATCTCTTTTCTAGACGTTCTCGTGATGATCGAATAGGCCATGGAAACATGTTAATGTTGAATGTAATCCTCCAGGGATCACCTGATGACACCAGCGGAGCTCATTCACTGGCCGGTCTGTTGAACAAATGCCGTACGCCGCAGGGCCAGCGTCTCGTCAACCAGTGGATCAAACAACCGCTCATGGACAAAACCAAAATAGAAGAAAGGTAATTTTAAATGACGGTAACAAGGTGTGACGTCGGATGTCCTAAGGCATATTTGAATGGATAGTTGCAGAAAATTAAACCGTCAGATTTAGTAGGCTGCAGCTGTTATTTCAGTGTGTCAGATACATATTTAATCAACAGTTGGGGAGCTAGAAGTATCAAAACACTAGATCGGGACCTCCCTGTTCTTTTGAATAACAGCCTGTGCTGTTATGAATCGTGTGTTTTATTTGAGTAATAGTAGATGCAGTCCAGAGTAGTATTTGTTAGATTGCCATATAATCTGCTATTGAAATTCATTACACTAGGACACATTTTTGAGGACACTTCTGATGTGTGTGTGTGTGTAGGCTGGACCTGGTGGAGAGCTTCGTTTGTGACTCTGAGCTCAGGCAGACCTGTCAGGAGGACTTGCTGCGGCGGTTTCCTGATCTTCACCGTCTGGCCAAGAAGTTCCACCGTCACTCTGCGACGCTGCAGGACTGCTTCCGCGTCTACCAGGCTGTGAGCCACCTCCCCGCCCTCGTCTCTGCCCTGGAGAGATACTCAGGTACACACAAACCTGCAGTTGATACTATCTGAACACAACACACACATTCATAGACTGATGGCAGAGCATAGTGCCGACCTGCCCATCGGGATCTAATCTGAATGGTAGATTGGGGTTCAGTATTTTGCACAAGGACAATTCGACATGCGGAGCCGGGGAGCTAACCGCTAATAAAATAAGTAATCTTGTAAAATGTCATTTTAGGCAATATTTCTACATTTTTGGGGAATAAGCTTATTGGCTTTACTGCCTTAAGTTTGAGTGAAGGCTGGTAATGAACCTGATAACGGTTTATATGCATTAGTAGCCTGCATACGTACAGTAGAGTGCATTCATTCATTGTCCGTACATACTACCTGTTTTGTTTTCTTGTGTGTGTTGTAGGTAGCTACCAGGTTCTGTTGGAGGCGGTGTTCCTCTCTCCTCTCAGAGACCTGCAAACGGATTTTGTTAAGTACCAGGAGATGATTGAAACCACGCTGGACATGAACCAGGTCTTTGCGTTAGTATTTTATCTTCACATGTACAATGTAAGAATACTTGCCTCCGTATTGTTTAACAATTCTACACGTCGTTAACGTGCATTTGTACTTGCATGTTGCGCGTAGATTGACCACCATGAGTTCCTGGTGAAGGCATCGTTCGACCCAGCGCTGAGTGAGCTGAGAGAAAAGATGGACGCTCTGGAGAAGAGCATGCAGGCGGTGCTGAACAGTGCAGCCAGAGAACTGGGTGAATATACACAAGCAAACACGAATGGATCCAAGTCCATGATTTATTTAAGCAACAGATGGACATCTGCGCAAAGAAGTTTGATTCTATAGTTCAAGGGAGTGACCTTAGGCGTCTGCTGATGAGTTTTTTTAAGATAAGGCGTGACAAAAACGCCAAAGCAATTCAATTACACCATGCGATCATCATGTGCTGCAGAGACACTGATTGAGTGAAGTAAATGCTAGCTTAATAACTCCAGCGATAACTGTACATGTTGAAGACTTTACTGGCCCCAAAAACTAATTTACTCATATGTAGGCCTATAAATGAATAGACTGTGGCCTACGTCAACGTATTAAATATAAGACCTGGCTTTGTTGAGACCGTCTATAGATCTCCTCCGGAATAATGTGGGGTTACCATTTGGGATTTTTTTGGGGGGCGTGCGCTAATTTGGACGTTTGCAATGGTCAAAGCTCCGAAGCATTACCCGGATGATGTTTTGAACTTCGGGCAACTTTGTGTTTCAGGTCTGGACGCTGGTAAGACGGTGAAGCTGGAGTCAAACGCCATGCTGGGTTTTTTCCTGAGAGTCACCTGCAAGGAGGAGAAGAGTCTGAGGAACAACAAAAAATTCACCACGCTGGATGTTCAGAAGAACGGAGTGCGCTTCACAAACAGGTGCGTCTCACTGCGTCACATGCTCCACGTCTGCCTCGGATAGAGGTGCTCTCGCTGTCAGCTGATTCTCTGTTGTGTGTTTACAGTAAGCTGAGCGCTCTGAATGAGGAGTACGCCAAGAACAGAGAGGAGTATGAGGAGGCCCAGAATGCCATTGTGAAAGAGATCATCAACATCGCCTCAGGTGAGGACCGTCATCACATGCTGCTCACTGTCTTCTCAGCATGATCTCAGCAATCGATTTGACAGAATTAAATTATACGTGGAAATGATAATCTCATGATAATCTCATAATTCCATGAAGTTAGATGTGTGACCTTTTTTAGTAATGATTTCATTCACATTTTCTACTAAACGATGCAGTGCTTTTTACTTCTAAATAGTTTGGTTTTGTCGTCACATGGTGTTCTTTAATCAGATTTTAGTCATTTTTTTAGGAGCCCGCATGTGCTGCACTCTGAACTCTGTGAACCGGCAGGTTACGTGGATCCTCTCCAGACGCTGAGTGACGTGACGGCTCAGATGGACGCAGTGGCGAGTTTTGCCGTGGCGTCCGTCTCTGCTCCGGTGCCGTACGTTCGGCCCCGGCTGTTGGCAGAAGGCTGCAGGCGTATGGAGCTGAAGCAGGCCAGACATCCCTGCATGGAGACGGACGCAGACACCGCCTTCATACCCAACGACATGTCCTTCGCCCAGGGAGAGAAGGACTTCTATATTATAACGGGTATGAAGAGATGACTCACTTCCAAAGTAGAACAATTAGGAGAAAAACATCAAAGTTGAAAGCAGAGTGAAACTCACTATAAAGCTATGAAAGTTGATGCGAGCTGCAGATTTATCACTGAGTGACCCCTTTCACACATTTTCCAATTACTCAGAAGACAGACAGGGTTCCCACGTGTCCTGAGAAGCAGTTAACCAATTTTCCAGTTGTTTAAGGTGACACGCTCGCTAGCTCGTTTAGCAACGGTGCTCTTTTTACTTCACTAGCTTTGTCTTTTCAAACAACGCTGCCTTGTTGAGCTACAATAGATCACACCATGACAGATAACCTTTAAGTGCCATAGACTGCATGTCCTTTTAAATTAAGACTTCCACAGAGATGGTGTGATCCAGACAGATTATCTTGGAAAAGGATCTCTGGAGATACGTGGGAGCCCTGGGCAGACCATCTAGAGCTTCCATTCTGCTTTTCACCCATTCCATTGATTCAGAAATCAGTCTCACAATTGCTCAGTTGTTTTGTGAAAATTGTGTTACCTCAGTCGTCGTCTTTTTTAATCCGTAAACGTCCTAAAAAGCACAATCTTCACGGTTTTTCAGATGTGAAGTAAACAGACGAATGCTTAGAAGTTTAGTTCCTCGTCGAGTTCCTTTTCTGAAGCCAAACAAGTTAATCTGTGATGATGAAACTCGCGACTCTTCTCCCCTCGTCTGCAGGACCAAATATGGGTGGCAAGTCGACGTTTATCCGTCAGGTCGGTGTGATTGCTCTGATGGCTCAGATTGGCTGCTTTGTGCCGTGCGAGAAGGCGGAGCTTAGCGTGATTGACAGCATCCTGGCCAGGGTGGGAGCGGGAGACAGCCAGGTCAAAGGAGTGTCCACCTTCATGTCCGAGATGCTGGAGACAGCTGCCATCCTGCGGTAAGAACAAGACACACAAGCTGGTGTAAAACTACAAAAGATGACACACACAAGCCTTTTCTCATCGCGGGTGTTGTTCCTCCAGCTCGGCCACGGAGAACTCGCTCATCATAATCGACGAGCTCGGCAGAGGCACGTCCACGTACGACGGCTTCGGCCTGGCGTGGGCCATCAGCGAACACATCGCCTCCGAAATCAGCTGCTTCTGTCTGTTTGCCACTCACTTCCACGAGCTGACGGCGCTGTCGGCGCAGCAGCCGACCGTCCACAACCTGCACGTCACAGCCCTGACCTCCCACAACACACTCACCATGCTGTACCGAGTCAAATCAGGTCAGCACGGCACAATAAAGTCACATCTATTTTGTGGAGGAGGCAGGTGAACTGACCCAGGCCCCCCTGACTGTGTTCAGGTGTGTGCGATCAGAGTTTTGGAATCCACGTTGCCGAGTTGGCGTGCTTCCCGGCGTCGGTGGTGGCCATGGCGAAGGAGAAGGCAGAGGAGCTGGAGGAGTTCCAGGAACCTGCGGGGGAGAAGTCTGAGCAGGAGGAGCCTGAGGCCAAGAGACGACGGACAGACAAACAAGTACCCTGCGCAATATATAGCCATGCATAATTAACATCATGTGCAGTCATGCCACAAAAATGTCATCTCGTTTTAAATTATCAATGGGTCGTGTAAAAGGGGTTACTTATCGTAGAATTTCCCACTACAAGAACATTTTTTCAACTGACCTAAACGTACATAATCATGAGGCTGACTGCTGTTTATTGTTCCCTGTCCTTCAGGTGGGGGAGAACCTGATCCAGGACTTCCTGGAGAAGGCAAAGTCCCTCCCTGCTGACACCATGAGTGAAGAAGAGGTGAAGGCGGCCCTCAAGAAAATGAAGCAGCAGCTCGTCGCCCAAAACAACACATATATCACAGAGATCCTTTCACGCTGCGTTCCTGCAAAAACAGCTTGATTTTAGACTCGCGTTCACGTGTTCATCATGGCGAACCACAGTTTATGTTGTAGTTTTTCAATAAAGAATTAATTCTGGATGCGTCTTAGTGTTTTTTGACACCAGATTTCTTCGTAAACACTGCGGGTGATGGGATACATGCTGTTAGCGTTATGTAAACCTGAACTACACCAATACCTCCTGTGGTCCTTCAGCAGCATTTCTGTTTAGTACGACCGGACACTTGTGGGTAATTCTGCAGGGTGTGAATTTAAAAACAAGACACCTGTGATCTAATAAAGTTTTATTTTCTTAGAAATGGCCAGTTTCCTGTTTTCTTTTTTTGTCTTTCTAAGAAAGTATACCCCTTTTTGAATTCCAACTAGCATCTACATAATGGTTATTGAGTACTTCACAATATATTAAGTCTAGATGTTATGGTACATGCATACGATTCAGGCTGCATGAGGAGCCACAGTCACCACGATACACGGGGGGGTGGGGGAGAAGGGGGAGACGGGGGGGGGGGGGGGAAGGGGGGGGGGGGGACAGCAGATTGACTCCTCAGTTCCAGTTCAAAGGAGCTCTGTCGCCTCCTATTGAAACCCTCTCCACAAAACACTGACTGCATCAACTTAAACATATACACACAACTTCCACTGTACACAACACACTCACACCTTTATACAAGTGTGGAGCCCCTCCACCTGCCATGTAAGCTAATATACTGGAGAGGGTTTTTAGTGTTTAAATTCTCTTTCACAGAAAGAACTTCACCACTGGGACGTCCGAGTGTCTGCACTTTGCTTTGGAGGCGGGATTGGAGGAGGGACGCTAACCAAAGAAAAATAAAAATAATTATAATATATAATAAAAATTAAAAGACATTCAAATACAGTCAACTTTTTGCTTGAAAATACAAAACTACATGAGAAAGCATTGAAATAAAATCCACTGATCAGAACTTTTTTTTTTTTTTTTTTTTTTTTTAAAAAAGCCCAAGTGCTCCATCACACATACACAATCTTGCTCTTTATCCACACACAACAGAGCCACATCCGCCCATCTGTTGCCTCGTTACAACTGCCTGGGGCAGCCAATGGGGATGGCAGCTGTGAGGAAGCAGGAAGTCTCTTTGACAGCAGTATTTGTGAGGAAGAAGAAGGGCTGGGAGCCGAGGATTAACACCGGGTGGTGGGGTGGGATACTTCGTGCACTGCCATCGACAGCCCCTCTGCATAGCCCTTCTCTTCTCATCTACAGAAATACTCGGGCGATGAATCTCTTGTGGCCGTTCTGTCGGTCTACCCTCAGCTCCACCGCTCCCTCTAGTGGAGGCTGCCTCTGCTGCAGCGAGTCTGACTGCAGCGGGCAGGAAGCTGCTTCCTCTTTTCACCGTGATCCCATTTGAGAGCGCCGCAATCACAGTGTCTCTCTGGGTCCTTATGGCTGCAAAGTGGATGCGTGTATTCAACTGTGTGTGTGTGCGCAGATGTGTGTGTGTGAGTGTGAATGGCTGTGTGTGCAATGTAATGTGTTTTATATGCTTTATGTGAGAGAGTGTAACTGGACCGGATGCCTTCAGTTATGTTGCAGCGTGTTGGACTCGATGGGCGGCGCCGAGTCATACAGAGTGTCTGTGTCGTGTGTGGGCTCCCCGGCCAGTGTACACGGGTTGGACAACGTTCCCGCGCCGCAGTCACAGAAAAACCTAAAAGGGAACACAGACCAGAGATTATGAACCAGAGGCCCTTCATAATATACTGAAGTGAGAGACTACTCTTCAGGTACATTAAAAAGACAAAATGTGGAATTGAAAAATATGATTTTCACTGTTTTTTCAATGTTAAACATCATCACAAACATGACTTCCGAGATCTTTTCCCCGCCTCGAACCAAAAATGTCTTACCGATCATGCCGTATAAATTCTACATCGTGCCCTTGGTGGCATTTTTTGATGCAGTTTACACAGATGGCGTTCCTATCTGTTGTGTTACAGGTGTGACATCTGGGGAGATAAAAGACAAAACAGATTAATTTACATAAGAAATGGTTTATTGGGAGACATTTTGTGGATTTTTGACAATTACTAATCTAATAGGACTTTAATCATATTTCAATTAAATTAGAAAGAATAAAAAACAAAAAAATGCCAACCACAATTTCCTAAAGCCTAAGTTGATGTTTTCAAACTCCTTGTATTGTCCAGCAACAGTCCAAAGAAATTAAAAAAGGTATTTATTTAACTGTCACATCAGAAAAGTAAAACCTGGATATCCTGGAAAGCTTTTTTGCTTCAAAAATAACTTCACACAACGATTAATTGACCATACCATTATGATCATTGATCATATTAGTTCCAGATGAGTCTTGCGTTGTAATCTTTCAGCTCTACTTGAATTCATCGGACACAGTTTACCTGTAGAAGTCGTGCATGGGGTAACTGGTGTAGCTGGAGATCTTGTAGAGGCACTGTCCTCTGCTCACTGCCTTCTCAATGGCATCCTGGTTATTCAGAATCTTATTATCTGACAGAGGGGGTGGGGCATAACATGTGATTAGAAACAAGCTAGTAAGATTGTGGGCATTAAATCTTTGTCCAAAGTAGCCAGTTACCTTTCATGGTGACGTTGACTCCCGAGGCCAGAAACAAGCCTCCAAAGCGATTGTTGAAGATCTGGTTGCCCTCCAGCGTGGCTGTGGCGTGGTTAGTGATTTCAATACCTGGAGAAGACAAAGAAACATCCGTCATCAGCACCGAAAGGAGACAGAAACCGAGATGTTATTTGTGTTCATGTGGAGTTGGAAAAAAAGAAGCTAACCTGCAGCGAAGCCATCAAAAATGCGGTTCTTGCGGAGTATCGGGTGGCTGTTTGTGCTGATTAGCACACCGGCCTGAGCGTTCCTGAAGATGTCGTTCTCTTCCAGCAAACCTACGGAGAAAAAGATTTCATGAAGAAAATTGTAATACGTGAATCACACACGCGATTTCACACGCGATTTCACCACAAACACCTAAACAAAGTGGCAGCTGGCTGGAGGGAGGTCGACAGGGAGCTGAACGTTTCCCCACTTGCCGCTGGCTAATGTCATTTCCAGTAAATATCACAATATGAAACGTGCGTTTTGTTTAAAAAGTACAAAAGTCGGAATATAGCAAGTACTTTTTCCACCCATCTTTTAAGTGGTTACGTCTCCAGTTTGATCTCAAGCACAAAGCTGATGACGTGGTTTGTTTACATGACGTACAAACGCTTGCCATTAGATGTTTAAATCACAGAAATATACCTCCGTATATGTGTTTTGAACGTACTAACCATATCTATATTGATTGATGAAAGCTCCCAGTCTGTCTGTGAGCTCATCCGTTTCACTACAGGCAGATTCCCCTCACTTGCTACGGCGGGCAGCGAAATAAAATCAAATAATCGATACAAAGGGGGTCTACAAACGGTGTTGAATCAGACATACAACATGTCAGAAGCCATGTGATGCTTTCTATATTATCTGGCTACAGACTGTGCTTAAGTACCTCTGCCTCCATTGAAGATGCAGATGCCTCCATCTCTGCCGTCATGAATCTTATTTCGCCTCAGTGTGGGGTTGCTATCCGTCTTGATCCACACCCCTGCCATGGCATTATCAAAGATCTCATTGTCCTCAATGAAGCCCAGACCTGTTGTATTAAAGAGCCCATCAGACACAAGTACACAGACACTACATACGAGACAAACAGGGCAGCGGATTGAGAAATACAGACCTGAGTTGTAGACTAAAATCCCTCCGTTCTGGCCTCCCCAAATCTTGTTACGCCTGATCTTTGGGTTGCTCCCCGTCCTGTCAAGATTCAACAGCAATTCAATAATGTAATCGTACACAACTGAGCAGAAAAAGAAACAGCTGTAACATGTTTATTCTTTTACGTATAATGGTAAGAAAAAGTATCTCATATTGTGTATATTCAGTGTATTCACTGCTTAAAGGTGGTAATCTTTACCTAATTTGTACACCAGAGTACATGTGATTGTAGATGTCATTGTCTTCCAGCACACCATGCCCATTGTCATAGAAATACACGCCCACCTGAAAAAAAAAAAAAAAAAGAAAAAAAAAAAAAAGAATAAGAAACGACAGATTGTTACAACATTGAAAAAAAAGAAAAGATAGAAATTTGTTTTACTATGAAATCGGCACAATCAGGACATTGTAGCTATAAACTGTAGATTCAACATTCAAGTTGTTTTTCCCAAAACAGGAAAGTAGACGTAGAAGTAAATTAAGAAAACTGATCTAAAGACAGCCAAAGACCTCAGTTAAAGAACCGTTTCTGATAATTGGAGGATTCAAATTAACGTTTTTCTCTTTAAAGCCACAAGACTCCATTGTCATTTTACCACGTAGAACATGTGAGATGCTGGGCCGTCATTGCATTGTGCACGTACATGGTGCAGTATATCTGGCATTTACTTCTAACTAAATGTGCAGTATTTGTATTCCTCAAATCAAACTGTCAGGATATAGCAGCTCATCAATGCTGTTTATCGCTTCTCACTCTTGAAGCATGAGATTTCATCTGCTGGTGTACACATGTGCAATGTTTGACCATGGTAATTTCACCTGTTTTCCACTGTGGATGCGGTTCTTGCGGAGGACAGGAGTGCTGCCTGTGGTCACCCAGACTCCAGCCAGTGTGTTGCTGTAAACCTCATTCTCCTCAATCACCCCCTGGCCTTTCTCGTGCTGAAACATAAGGCAGCGGGAGCTGTCAAAACGTCCTGACAGAGGGGGGGGTGTTTAAGATCTTATTAAAAACAGAAAAAGTGTCTGTTCTTGCTGGAGAAGGATTACATCTGAGCCGCGAGTGTATTTACCACATAGATGCCCCCGTGCTGTCCGTCGTGGATCTTGTTGTGCCGTACAATGGGGCAGCTGTTGGTTCGGATCTGGATTCCCGCCAAGGCGTTACCATAGATATCGTTACTCTCTATCAAACCCCGTCCATCTCCAAATATGTACACCCCTCCTTGGTTACCGTTGAATATAGCATTTCCCCTAGACATAAAAAAGAAAGAAACAGTCACAATCTTGGAATAAACATGCTACTGGAGACAAAATTCATACACGACCGTGTGTTTGTCTGTATCAATATAGGACATGCTGGCCGTAACACATTTGCTGTCTCCATTGAACACAAACAGTCTGATGTGTGTGTCCTCACCGTATCGTCGGGTCGCTGTTGGATGTGATCCACACCCCAGCGAAGTTATTGGCATAGATTTTGTTCTCTATAAACTGTCCCCGTCCCTTCTCGTGGACGTAGATGCCTCCTGTTTGGCCATGATGGATCTCACAACGCACCACTGTGGGGTTGGCGTAGGCCTTCACTTCAAAGCCTGCTATGCGGTTTCTATGGATGTTGCAGTTCTCAAAGTAACCCTGAAGCACAGCAAAGAAGACGAATTAGATGGTCCGTGATGAATCTTTCAGGTAAAATGTATGAAGTGACAGTTGTGTGTATTTACCATGCCGTGATCAAAAGTGAACACTCCGACATCTCGACCGTGGTGGATGTGGTTACGTCTAATGATGGGATTACCGTGGTTTTTCACCCAAATTCCTGCTAGCGCATTGTTGCTGATTTCATTGTCTTCATAAATGCCCTGGAACACACGAGAAGAGAGTCAGAAGCCCGTGTGTGTATTTGTGGCGAATCATTTGTTGCTATTGCGGCGGGAAAAGTAACTTTTACCTGTGCGTGATCTGTGATGTACAGTCCTACGTTCTCACAGTCACTGATGTTGCAGTGTTTGATGGTTGGACAAGCTCCCTGACCACTCACACACACAGCCGAACCCACTAAACACAGAGAAAATACACACACACACACACACACACACACACACACACACACACACACACGTTACACTACAGTAGAGCTGCAAGTAATCGTCACTTTTATCACTTCTATCAATTTAGCAACAGTCAAAAAACCCAAAAGATGAATAGGATTTTTCCAAAAGACAATTTAAACTCTTCATATGAAAATGATCTCCCTCAATCATGACTTATAAAATAAAAGTGTGTGGCAGTGTCTGTATCTGCAGACAGGGGCCTCAAGAGGAAGCTACGAAAAGGGGCGGACACAACGGCGATAAAAACGCCAAATATAGCGTAGGAAAACGGAAAAAGCTTGTTCCAAAACGAGAGGGAATCTGGCGAGCTACGTAATCCTCCTTGAGCTGCGATGGAGGAGCCAACTTTGAAAGCTACGTTTATAAACTGCACAACCCACAAATCCTAATTGATCAGATCATTTAGTGATGTAACATAAATAGGGACACTTAACACACTGCGTCTCAAACTATAGAAAAACATGGCTCAATACTGTTAAAACAGGAGAACACACCAACATATGTACAATATAAGATCCATGCAGTAAATTCTACTGTCGGATTTAATGATCTGTTATTGTTCTTTTCATTGTGCTGTACAGGTGCTCATGTCAGTGCGTGCGTTACCTGTGCATGTGGAGCGGATGATGCAGTGGTCGATGTTGGGGCTGCAGTTGACTGTGATCTCCAGACAGTGGTGGGCGTTGTGGTGCTGTGCTGACTTATCATCAGGATTAAACTGCAGGGAGAAGAGCAGCAGAAGTCAGACAGTGGCTGCGCTTACTGACAATACATCAAGCTTTTTTCCACCCACCACATCCACACCACTCTCCCCACTGGAGGCATTAGTGCCGCTAATACTGGTCGCTGATAACAGGATAAAACCAGAACACAGAGAAATCCAACACCGCGGGAGACATAGAATAATCAATACGATGTCACATAAAGATGAGAAACATTCACATTCTTGTCACATTTGTCTGACAACTCATAAATCATTAAAGCTGGTTTAACTCTACGTACAAAACAACCCAGACAACCAACATCGATGTGAAAAATCACACCCAGATCTTGTGTTTGTATTGTGTAATTGGCATTGTATGACACTGTGTTAAACTCAGTTTGATAGTCTGAACCCTTTTAATAATGCACATGGTTCATAAACCTTCTGTCTTACATTTAAAAAAAAATAAAATCAAGAGAGGTGAGATCTATGCTCACCTTGATGGTCATGTATCCCACATAGGCATCCTCTGAGCCCTCCATGAAGACAAACGTTGAGTCTCTAGTATTCTCTATCACCACCTTGTCGGCTACTTTACCAGGAGCTTAAAGGAAAGCAGGAAACACTCATTAACACCCTCATGAATATGGACATCAGCACCACTGAGACTGCATCCTATCTTAAGAGAGATATTGATTGCACGCGGCGCAAGCATCAAGGTAAAGTCGTATGTACTTTATAGTGAGGGAAGCACGCATACCTGCACCAATCATGGTGATGGGGGACTCTATATAAATCCACTCATCTGTATAGATCCCAGAGTGGACAAAAATTAGACCGTCAAAGTGGGCCTCTTGCACTCCACCCAGCGCATCCTCAATGGTGTCATAATACTGCAGGAGAAAGGGAAGAACACGTTCAGGCAGAATATACACAAAAACAAGCAGGTGTTTACATTGGCTGTGCTTTGCATAAATGTCAGCGCTATGGCCAATGAAATAAATCCTGAAGGATTTTGTCTTTTGGCCGTGACTTACCAGCATATTCTCTCTGCCTTTGTATCTGCCGGGGTTACTGTAGAAATGCTCAGCGAAGCCTGGTTTTACATGAGCACCTTTGTACTGCAATACAGAAGACACCAAAATCAAGTTCCTGGTGATCACACCGAACATTAACATGCTCCTCATACCACCTAGGCATTGCTGGTTAAACAAATCATTTTGACACACAAGGGGGTTCCACAAAGAGCTACAAAGAGCATCAGTGGTTCCCCATGTTTTTGTAATACAACTCTTTAAAACAAAGCAATGTTTACTTGTGACCCCTTGTTGCCCGTTTGCATGTCCACTGGCTGCAAATACATCAACCAGAGTCTTCCTCTTAAGACGTTAAATGATGTTATTAAGTTACTGGGGAAAAAAGGCATAAGTCTAACTGTAGCAGAAATAGTTTTTTCTGGTTCCTGTCCTTTTAACTATACTGCAACCCCTGAACCCTAAATTAGGAACCGCTGGCAACAACGGAACAATGGATGCAACAGCCAAACGCTGCACTCTTTAATTTCTAGACATCACAAACAGTAAGAGGTGGGACAGAACAGAACAGTCAGCTGATCAAATGGCAATTTGTTTTTTATAATGTGTGCCTGTGATCAATGTTTGACTTTCACCTTGAATTTCCCTTTTACATTATAATTAAAAAAGCAAACATGTTTGCCTTCCATTAGCCTCACAACCTCAGATGATGATTAGCCTGAGAGGAACTCTGGATTTACATAAATAGATAATGAGATACTATTGTTGACATAGCCTTAGAACAACATTACAGTCACATGAACATGTTACACTGATCTGTCTGTGAACAGCCTGAACCCTGAGATCCTTCTGAGAAATACTGTATATGCGGTTTAAAGACAGAACAAACTATGGAACTGTGGCAGCCCGCCAAAGTCTTCTTTGCCCCGCCACATTTTTATAATGAACCGAAAATATTTTTCGTTTCTCTACAGGTGGGCCGGCTGGCCCCGTGCGGTGCATTTCCTCTGCAGCGGTGCGCTGTGGACTTGGCCACGTACTTGGTGCTCACTGCGACCTCTCTCCCTGAACAGAAGTGACGCGTGTTCTGTCCACCTCTCCTCCGCTCCATTCAGTACCAGGGACAGAGCATTATCTGGAGTTTCGGCCACTTTAGCACGAATGTGGGAACCCTGTTAATGTGCTGTGCAAAGAAAATTAAATGTTGACGGTGTTGTTTTCGCCTTGGCTCAAACGACAGCCATTCATGCTGCAAATTCCACTGAAGGAGGACATTACTAATTTTCATTTTCTACAAATTAAGTTAGGCCTAAATTTGACAGGGCAAATTAAATTAAATATAATGCTACTACCACTAATAATATTCAAAGTAATAATTTAATATATTAACGGGAAACACGTGAAATATACGTCTTTACATTGGCAAAGGCATCCGCTATTGCCGATCGCTCTGAACACCGGAATAACCCCATCCTCAGTGCTTATCCATGTTATATTGTGATAGCTATGCTTCCTTTTCTCCCCGTGTATTTCAAGAGATTAAAATAGGACTGCTTTCTCTTTCTAATGTATGTGTGTGTGACGTGTTTTAACTTTACAGGCACTCTTTCCCAAAGTGAGATATTATTACTCCAGTGGCAGTGGCATGGATTTTATTGCAAGGCCATATATGAATTTTTCAGAACTGCACATTGTTTATTTTTAATATATATATAGAGAGACAATGTTAAGAAACAATAAACCAAGTGTGTACAAAGATGTTGATGCTCTTCAGAGAGCACTTTCTTTTTCACAGTAAAACAAAACACAGAAAACTAAGGAGGTCAGACTTACCAGCTGTTGGAAGCTCTCCTTCCAGGGGTTTGGGTGTTCATGCTCCTCAGGGCTGACTTGATAGAACCTGCCTGGCTCAGGATGCATCATGGGACGTGTGTACTCAAACACCTCCATGTATAGACGCTTCCTTGAATATTAAATACCACAATTCAGTTGTTTGCCTTTTAATGAAACGACATGTTTCCATCTCTTCAGCAGCACTTACCATAGGATGGGGTCATTGGCTAGCTGGCTGAATCTCTTGCAGACACAAGCTGCCTGGCAGAGGTCCTGTTCCAGTAAGTAGGAGAAGATCTTCAAAACAACCTCATCTGGAAGTTTCTGTTGCAGATATTGCTCTGCTGGGGCTGCTAAAGACACACAAACACACTCACAATGTAAGGTTTAGGGAACAAATTGTTTCAATCCAAGCACATTAAACCATGAAGTCATGCTGTTAAATGGATTGCAAAGTAACAAGATTTACTAACGCACACTGAAAATCAATAAAGATTCCAAAAAAAAAAAAAAAAAAGAGGAAGAAAAAAAAAAGCTAACAGTCTCCTTTCCCCGGCTGCGGAGATTTAACACACACCTGGCAGATCGTGGCTCTTACCGGACACTCGTGCCCGCTTGGCTCGATGGCCAAAGGCCTCTGTTGATGAAGTGGAAGCTCCCTGTGAAAGAGGGGAAATAGGGTATCAACTCAATGCCAAGATTCAAGCACTAAGTAATCATCTGGAAAATGTACTGCTCTGTCACAGAATCATTGTTCTTTCAAAGGAAAACACAATCAATCAGACATGCACACTGTGGCCAATGCACAAAAAAGAAATCCACTTTAATGTTTCAGTCCAACCTCCATTGGGCCCTTGCTGGGGCAGGCAGAGGCGGTGGCAGAGGCAGCGGCGGTTCTCTTGGGAAGCAGGGTCTTGCGTCGAAGCTGATAGGGACTGTTCTGAGCTCCTGGTCCAGACTCCTCAATAGCCATCTCTGCTGCAGCTGCTGCAGGAGCCTCCTCATCTGGACAAAGAGGAAAACAGATTTCCTATACATAAACCACTTTGTCAAGAGGCACTTCAATGCACAAAGCTGCAGTATAGGGCAAGGCCATGCAATTAAAAAAAAACAAACAAAAAAACATTGGGTATTTCTCTGAGAAGCACAATCATCACTCTATTGCTCGAATACACAACTAAAAAGGTCTCCAGTCAATGCAGGAAACACTTTAACCACTGACACACTTACTCTTCTTTCATTAATGACACAATGGTGTGCATTCATCTCACACGCTGTAAGCACATTACGCAGGCTAACAGACAGGGTGAGAGTTGGTATGGCAGACAAAGGTTAGTGATTGATAATGGCAGATGCACCCCCCTGCAGTCACATTGCCAGTCTTTCATGTCTAGTCATACACAACTGATATCAGACAATGTGCATTTGTCTCTGGGTCCTGTTCTGTGCAGAATGACACTCATCTTTTATGGTGCTGTCAAAAATGAAGGGCCGCAGATGAAAGTGGATCAGACGTGCGGCTAATGGCTAAAAACTGAACTGCGTAGCTGGCAAATCCGCGGTGTAAACAAATCGAGCTACGGCTAACAGGCTCCGAGAACAAGGAAGGGGATATGGGTCCAATCTGCTGGCTACGTTAGCTTTGAACTATTACAGCCTCAAGCAGAGAAAATGGACACAGAGAATTCATCCAAAACCACACCGTATCATCTATAACACAGCTGATCTTGCGTGGCTTCTTGAAGCCGGGGGTCAACTGGCTTAACACTGCCGCCCCATTCGCCTGCTAATGTTTTTGTTAACGTTACACCCCAAAAATGGCAGTCCGAAAGACGCCGCATATTTACACCCCGTCAGAATCGTTAGTGACAGCTGGGAATGCGACGGCCGAGAGAAGACACGCAGATTGTGGTCAGAGCGTGTGAAGTCGATCCCTTTGCCTCCAGCTATTGTTACCTGAATATGCGCTATTAATGTTGACCGTTTAGCTAACATACGCATTACATTCCGCGAAGACAACCCCCCCCCCTCAACCTCCACATAAACCTGGTAAGCTAGCTAGCGGTGTTAGCTAGCCCCAATCACTCAAGCCAAACAAAGCGCGGCCTGGCCTAAGCTACAGAGCAAGAAGCCTCGGTTTTTCCTGCTGAACCCGCCGTGACTAGGAGTGGTAAACAGGCCGGCAGCAAAAAGAAACGACGGTTATGTAAAGGCTGTTGGCGCGTGACACGGCTTCCGTCTTCAGTAGTTAGCCGACTGTGGCCGCAAGCGTACCTCTGTCCCCGTTGTTCCGTTCGGGCTGCACCGGGCGCGGCCTCGACACTCGCCTGGGTCTCCTGTTGGTGGCTCTGACGGAGTTCATCTGGGGAGTTGGTTGTTGAGAAAATAGACTGCTATCCTCGACCGCCCGCTTCGAAATTTAGCCCTCGACCCAAACTACCACCCGCGCAGCCTTTTTTCCAAGATACACCCAGACAATTGCGATCAAAAACCCGCTGGTATTTGGGGTGTAATCGCTTTTTTCCCCCTCCGTGGTGTTACAGCTCCCCCCGTATCGCTGCTCAGTGCCAGCTTCGTCTCAGTCTGTAGCAGGAGGAGCCATTAACCCACACGGGAAACAATCGCGAGAAGAAAAAGAGCGTGAGTGTCCGCTCGGCCAATCATATTTGGCGTTTTATAACAGGTGTCCTACAGCGGCCAATCAGGAGCTTCGTATTAGACGACCTGACAAACCTTTCTGTTGGGGTTCGGGATCGGTCAAGCGGCGATTTGATCAATGCACTAATAATACTGAAAGACAATTCTTAGCCTTAGACCCCATTGTCACAGGTACATATAGAGCTATAGTATTTTGTAACAGTATTCCACATTGACAAGGGATAGTCTTTACTTAAACCAATCATTTCAACAATCGCCCTTCCTTAATTATTAACAAAGAGCACAGTCTTAAATTTGTCTAATTGTCTTTCTATCTAACTGATTTATTATTTGCCATATATCAGTGAAGATGTGAGTGTGTTTAACATACCGAGCATTGGCAGGGCAGAGACTGGAGTTAGGCTTCAAGAAATGTTTATCTTGAGAAGTTTACACATTTGTATTTTCACATTTTAAGCCCTATACAAGTTTATTTTATGATTATATTTAAAAGTTAAAGTCTTACTTAATGTTTTAAATAGAATAATTGACTGGGAGATTGAATGATCTTGTTGTCATTACTTTTTATTTTCATTTTGAGTCATTTGATGTAAATACAAACTTAATTCATCAATGTATGATTCAATGTCGAACGTATCATTGTATAAATCAATTATAATTAAACACTGAAAAAGCTTATATGTATTTCAGTGGCAAAACTATTGGAATCCATTTGAACTCACATGAATGCAGAATAAACTAAAAACTTCTCACAGCTACTTTTCCGGCCTGCGGGAGTCTCAAATCATCGATTTTGAGTGGAGGAAAACGTTTTGTCAATTAGTATCATTTCATGTAATTGGACCACCAGATGGCATTGTTAAGCTGCAAGCGATTTAGGCTATGATCTCACAGCATTATGAGAGCAGTCGCAATGTGGCAATATTTTATCTGGAGTTTAATTTAGTTTTCTTCTTCTTTTGTCACCTTGTTGTCGCTGGAAAATATCTTTATAGGAGCTCTTACCACACAGCCATGAATCATTTCTAATAATCAATGAATATAGGTTTGAGCATGATTACATTACAATACTGAGGGATATAATCCATTTAATAATTTTTAGTGTGCTTAGGAAAATAATACACACATATACACACCATCACAATCATTCTCATACAGAGTAAAACAAAAAAATACATTCTGCCAATGGTCACGGTCTGCTGGTTGGATGTTATTACTTTTTATTAGATAGTTTTCAGGAGAAAGATACTCCAGAAAAACAGACAGAGAGAAGGGTGTGACATGCAACAAATTAAGGTCAAAAGGATGCCCAAAATGTTATTGCTTAAATAGTTCCAGCTAAGTATCCTGTGAGGATTAACAACAGAAACACAACTTGGGAAAATCTGTACATTGTCAAATTTGTTTTTGTCTAGGCCCCAATGTGTCCCATTATTTCCCAGTACTGTGTCTGGAGACCGAATGTTGTCAGCACCACATGTGCTATATTAAGTAAGTAGAGGGGTGTTGTTCAGACAGTTTCAAGTCCTGAGCTGGAAAGCAACATCTTATCAGCCTTTCTAAGAAATAACATTATTTATTGTTGCAGACAGCAACAGTGATGTAACCTTGTAAGCAACTGCTTTTCTGTTTACATAATAGTGATGGTTTAATCTCTCTGTTTTGTTACAAATATTTGACGATTAAGACATGAAGGAAATGCCACAAGCGCTGAAGAGAATAGTGCATTTTTTAGTTCTGTTTAAACTTCCACACTGATGTATGTTTTTGTGTCTGTATTAATTTGATTTCACACTGATCTGAAAGGTTTACTTTGTCACCATCAGTTGTTTGTTTGTAGTTCACTGGTGAGGCTGACTATAAATATGTAGAATGGACTACAACAAAGCAGAGATCACAATAAATATCGCATCAGTAGCACCACCTGGTGGTTAAAGAGTATAAATGCGCCCTCACATTCTATGTTGGCATGTAGGAGGCAGTGTATCCATATCAATGAGATGGACTCGGATTCCTTCTTGCAGCTGCAGCCTTGAAACCCTGGGCTGCTTGCTTCTGTGTGTGTATGTGTGTGTGTGTGTGTGTGTGTGTGTGTGTGTGTGCTTTATCTAGCGGCCATATCCATCTGTCTGTAATAAACAGAAAGAGCAGCTGTGTAGTCTCCCCTCCCCTCCCACAACCCAACAGCCACCCTGGCACGCAGAGCTGAGGTTGGTAGGGTCACTTTGTCCTTGAAAGCTGTGGATGCTCTGAAGGACAACATTTCTAGATAAAGAATGCTCAATTTAATGTGTGTGAGTGTGGTTTCCTTTTGTTACGAGTCCTCATACACTCACATTCACCACGAAATAAAATAAAACTATTCAAGCAGAGAGGATGTAATAGACAAATTTATAAATGACATTGAAAACCAACACAAAGATACATTTTTTTCAAAAACACAGAGATATATATATATATATATATATATATATATATAAAAAAAGTCGCACTTAATAGTAATTTCATTTACAAAGGATAAACATATTTACGCAAACAAAGATAATTACACGTTCTTCATTTCAAGACAAACTGAAGAGGAGGGATGTGGAGGCATGGGGAGCAACAGCAGAGTGTATGAGGAGATTATTAATGAGTATGTCCTTGCAGTGTGCTTGTTAATGAATATCATTCAATCATAACGTTTTATGCAAAATTAATAGTGATTTCTTGAAGTGCATGTGTAGAAATCTCGAGTGTCAAACCTTTGTTTAAGGATTTCAAAGTACTCCAGGTTATTAAATTATCTTGAGATGGATGGCAAGAAGATGCGTGAAAGTAAAATTACTTTCCTCACCTTCCTCGACTCTTTCTACTTTTACTTGTGTTCTAATTGTTTTGACGCAGTAAACTCCAACCCATCGCGCATTCCAATCAAGGTAAATCAAACGCGAGGAATTATCTGGGACAGCTATATGACCTAGATTTTGTCAAAGTATCTGCAATTGTTCTGTAGCTATCTTTACTTGGATGTCTGTACACACGGTACATACAGTAGAGTTTTTCCATGGGTCACATGGTTCAAGAAGGACTCTTGTGCTCTGTGTTGTTGCAGGGCAGAGGTCATTGGCTGATGTACTGGCCAAAGACACTGGCAACATATCGAACATAAGTGAAAACCCGCAACATTCAGTGTCATGAGTTCGGGCGTCGTATGGAGGATTTAGCAGTCTGTTCGGTGTCTCCACACATTTTCACGCATGAAAAGAAGTGCACCTCTGAAGCAATGTTGAATTTCTTGTAACTCTAAGGCTGCATTGTAGTCTGTCAATATCTCCATCAGACCTAAGAGGAATTTCCTTTCGAAAAATAGGACTTCTGTGGGGAGAGAAATACGACCCTCCTGACAATCAAGCAAAAATCCTTTGTCTGTGGACTTTTGAATGACAGTCAGTCACTTAAAGGATTGGCCAAGGAGTAGAGCATCACATGGCTGCTCTTTGGAGAGGTCCATGCCGGCTGCTGACAGGAGGAACTCTCTGTCCGGTAAATCTGCGCCCGCGTTTTAAACAGGCCAAAGCGAGCCGTGAGGAGAAAGAAATCCCGCCTAAAGGTGCGCGTGAAGAAGGCGTAGAGGAAGGGGTTGGAGCACGAGTTGATCGGGTAGAAGAGCACCAGCAGGAGTTTGGAGTCTGAGACGCTGATGAGAGGGAGCTTGAGGGCGGCTGAGACAGCAAAGAAGGAGATGGGAGCCATGCAGACAAAGTCAGTGAAGATTAGGATGGCCATGCGCTGGGCCACGCGGGTGTCGGCGTGCGCCGGTGCAGACGAAGGGTTGCGGACGGTCAGGTAGATGCTGAGGTAACAGCCGCACACACAGAAGAAGGCCAGGATGTTGAGGAGGAGGAGGGACACCACATAGACCTGAGCCTTCAGAGACTCCACGTCCATGGGCAGGCAGATACTCACCTTCACCACAAACAAATGCACACATTCAAATATCACACAGTGTACAAGGGCTTTGCATGTACTTTATTTCCATTACATAACCTGGGATTAAAAAAACCTCAGCTCTCAAAGGGTTTGTTGTCCAGTGGGCTAAACAAATAGACACCTTTCCCATGTCCTACATGACAGTGGATTGAATATCTTTCCATTTTGGTCAGACAAAAGAAGACATTTAATGACATCACCTTGGGGTTCCAGAAACTAGTCGCCTTGTCTGGCGTTTTACGGACCGATTAATTCATAAAATAAATGTCTAATGAATATAACCACCCTATATATAATGTCATACAAAGCAATACATTACATAAGCTGTTTTTCATATTTTAAACATATTGTGACTGCAAAATTACATTCGTTTGTAGAATATATGTTTATACGCTATTTCCCCCCCCCCCAAAAAAAAAACAGAAGCAAATTCTGAAAGGACCATACAGTGAATTGTGGTCACAAGGAGTTGAATGGAGAGAGTGTGGTCTATTCAAAACACTCACCTTTCCGTAGCTGCTGACCCCGACTGTGGGCAGCAAAGCGGCGATCGAGGAGAAGATCCAGCCCGCTGTCATCATGATGCATGCGTGTCTCAGGCGAAGTTTACGGTCGAGCCGCAGAGCGTGTGTGATGGTGTGCCAGCGCTCCACTGTGATCGCTGTTAATGTGAACACCGACAGCTCACTGGCAAACACCTGTAATTGAAAGAAACATGACATGGATATTCATGAGTATTGTTGTTATTCATTGTAGAGCTATCATATGTATGCAAAGGACTCCCTGCATGAATACCCACCGTAAAGAAGCCCGCAGCACTGCAGCCCAGGCCCTCCTGCCAGTCTGTGGCGTCGTTGTAGTACTGGCCACGTGTGAGCATGTCCACAGTTGCTATTACTACCAGGTAGATGCCCATGCAGAGGTCAGAAAAGGCCAAGTGGCACATGAGGAAACGAGGGACAGTCAGTTTGGAGCGGCTGCCTGACAACGCAACAGTGGGAAGAAAAAGGAGAAAAGAAAATCTTGGGGGCCAAAAGGTACTTTGTAAACAAGTATTAACAGTAAAGTTTCCTCAAGTTGATATTCTATTGCTAAAGAGAATAAACCTTAGTTTTGCTTTTATGTGAAAACACAATAATTCCAACAAAAGCAAGGCACTGTAGAAAGGAAGGAAATTAGGAAAGAAGGTAGAGTGGAAGAAAGAACAGACACAAGAAAAGCAGAGAGTAAGGAAGACGGAAGGAAAAAGGGAGATAAATGATGAGAGAAAATAGGACAGGATAATGGAAGTAGAAAGTTGAGCTAGTAATGATTGTCCCATTTCATACCTAACAAGACCAGAAGTACTGCTGCGTTCCCCAGCAATGCGAGGATAGAGATGATCCAGATGAGGACCCGTAGGGGGACAGCGGACATGATGTCCTCACAGGGGTTAAAGTCATCGGGGGTTGGGCTGCAGGTGATGGAGGTTGAGTTGAAGCAGTTGTCCCTTCGAAAGTTTGGGATTTCCCAAGACCCGGGTTCAGAGCACTTGGAGTGCCACCTCGTTCTAGCACAACAAACAAAAACTGCATATAAACTAAATCTATGAGGTGATTTCACAAAAAAAGACTTGCCAGGAACATCTTGGAAGTGTTTGTTGTTGTAATATTAATTTAAGCCACAAAAGGCTAAAAGGCACAACTCACCCATTTTAAGTCATGAACACAGGAGAGAAACAACTTTAGATCAGAGTTAGAAAATTGTTTTTCTTCCCCAGATTTGGATCTATTTATTTAATAATAAGGCGTTCAGATATCTTTTGACAACAATGCATGCGTACCCGTTCCTTTTTATACTTTGGAAGGCGCAGCAGTGTGACGGGTAGGTCAGGTAGGCCTCGCTGAGTTTGGTGAAGAGCTGCGGAGGAGGAAGTTTCTTCAGATTACGGGCGGACACAGCGAACAGCATCTCGAGTCGTGTGAGGATGTCGTCCGGCAGGGAGCTGAGGGCTGTCTGGGAAATGTCCCTGCACAAACAACTACACGTTGGTATCTAATAGAGGAGTAACAGTCATTATCATTTCAGAATCAATGCTATGTTTAACAGATGTTTTGTTAAATAGGCATTTGACCTATGATCAGTTCATAAAAGCTGTTATTTATTTATTTTTGAACTCCAGATATGCTTAGAATAAAAACACTGAAACTCAAATTTCCTGAGCGGAAATTGTCACGGGAAATGCCACCGTTTCATTGCAAACGGGTTGCTGGGCTGTGGAGTCATAAGACACTACAGCAATGACAGCCCAAGAGAAAAACAAATACGGTGCTCTTCTGATTGCTACTTCAATAGAAATGGGAGTTTCTTTGATTGGGGAATAAACAGGGGGAAAAAATCTCTTCTGCTCTCAGTTTATTTTTACCTTAAATCTGGCATGTTTCTAAGTGTTTCTGGGCCTCCCCACAAACGCCACATTGTTTCTTGTTTTCTCCTAGTTTAATAAGTGATGATGAGGAGGGTGAATCATGTAGGCATGAGTTACTGTTGGATGTCATTCTTACAGAACCACCAACTCACTGGAACCCACAAAGGCGTTGGGATGGATGTGAGTAAGCTGTTCGTTTCCTCTTAGGTATCTAAGAGAGGCAAATGAAATATGTGAGCTGACTTTTTTTTATTCTTTTTGGTTAAATCTTCTGTTTGTTACCGTGTCTCTGCCTGTGACTCACAATCTGTTTATCTTTGTGCCGTTGAAGGCGTCACTTGCCACCTCCTCGATGCCATTTCTGGTGAGGTGTCTGTCATGAGAAAGAGAAGCCAAATTACAGTCATGTGGCTCCAACTCAAACAATTCAGAACAATTACTTCTCTGAAGCATCGAAGCTAATTTTAGTTTGTGCAGTTCTTTTGTTCTCAGTGGCTAAAGCTGTATGAGTACACAGAAAACACTAAATAAATGGTTGATTATTGTTATGTAACATTTCCATAGAGACCTTGGAATCTGTTGGCAAGCTACACTTGTTTGATACATTTGGCAGTATAAACAGATTTTTACTAAACTAATGTAGTAATGCCACAATTTAAAAGTACTGCATTATAAGTAAGAGCCCTGCATTCAAAAATGTTACTCAAGGAATAGTTCAAAATGTAAGTAAAAGTTTAAAAAGTATTATTAGCTAAATGCATTTATTAAAAGTAATTATTATGTGAAAGAACTTTCAATGTTTTGTTGCTAAATATTGAAATATTTGATTATCATTACTGATGATCCGATTAGGAAATAACTATACAGAAATAGCCAATCTTGTCACTGCCGGTCTTGTTTACTTATGTAGGTCATCAGTATCAAATTGAGACGGTTTCATAACCAGTTAAAAGTTCCTCACAGTAACTTAAAGCTAAAAAAATCAGAGAAATGCAGTGAAATAAAAAGGACAGTTTTTAGAAAGAAGGAAAACAAAGATATATCAGTAAGCGTGACAAAACCGCAGAAGAATAAGACAAGTGGGAGAAGATAGGACTCAGTAAAGAGGGCAGAGAGCATTTGGGGAACATTCGTCACTGGGCATGTAATGCCCACTCGGAGCAGTGCGAGGGTGGTGCATGTACTCCTGAGAAACTGATGAATCCCTTACATCTCGGTGATAGTATGAGTGCAGAGGCCTCTGAAGGCATTGGCAGGGACTCCCTTTATGTGGTTGTTCTCCTGCAGGTGACTAAGCAGCACATGGATAAAAACACAGACATGATTAACAACCAATACTGAGAAGTACGTAAATAGTAAGTAGAAAAACATCAGATATATGTATGTTAAAATATTAGGAATACATGCTACAATCTCCTTTAAATCCACTTCCTTTTTGAAGCTGATAGATGTCAGATGGGAGACAGTTTGAAAATTGATTTTTAGAGGCTGCAAATGAGGGACAGATGGGTTGCACTACTAATATTCTCTTCTGTAAGGACTACTCAGTGCGTAGATTTTAACTGCAGTGTGATGTCTTCTGGGCATATTTAAGTATGTGTGCAATCCAATAGCCTATATGTATGAATTCTATATAAGTACATAATTGTGTGTGTGGGCATTTGTGGTTCATTTGTATATTGTGTTTAGACCTACAACAGAAAGTCGCCGGCTGTGGAGTTGATCTCTGTCAAGTTTGGAAACGTTGTCAGTCCAGTGTTGTCGATGCGCCTGTGATATGCAGATTAACCACCAAATGTTACTACGTCCACACTGCAACCTCTGAACAACAGATACTCTGAGTCATAGGGATGAAATCAGACAATGTCACATAACAATAACAGTTGTGATAATGTCAGTGAATGATTTTGGCAATTTGTACTTTATTACAGTTAGCTTGAAACTGTTTCAAAAGATATAAAGAATCAAAGGTAGTATTTTATTTGTTTGTTGTGAATATATTTAATATGGCTGAAATGATAGATAATACATTTTGTGGAAAAACTTTTTTCACGAGATGAAGAGTGACACTGTATTTCTCTTCCTGGGGATCAAGGCTAATTAAAGAATGTCTCTGGTCGTGCGAGGGGCCCTTCAGAAGTAGGCCTGTCACCCGTGACCCATTTTGGACTCATAAGCAGCTTGAAAAACACAAACTGGAGAAGAAAGTATTCCTACCCCGCTGCACTCTCACTGAGTACTTACAGAAACTTTAGTTTCATGATGTTCTTGAATGCATCTTGGTGGATGTGTCTCAGGTGTTTTGACTTTGTTATGGTTCTGAAAAGAACACACACTGTCATGTATTCATTAATATAAACGACTGGTCTGACTGTACAATTACAGGGTTTCACCACTGCCATTATCCTGCCACTCATACTCACAACTCGCTGAGTTCAGGGAGATCAGAGAATGCAAAAGCCCCGATACTCTTCAATGCTACATTCTCAGAGATGGTGCTAAGGGAAACAAATGTGTAAAGAAGAATATTACATTCATGTCACCTGTCAGGTCTTCATTCACACTCATCCTGTGATTTTATTTCTCCACCACGCTGCCAAGCTTACTCCTTAGCTGTTTGGGTGATCAGCTTTCTCAGAGTTATCACCGCTTCTTGTTCCATAACAAAGACTAAACACACAAGGACGCTGGATAAAATACGTCACCAGCAGCGGCTCTTAGAAAACTGTATACTCACATATGTGTGAGCCGAGGGTGGCCGGCGAAGGCTAACGCGGTGATGGTCTCGAGCAGGTCGTTCTCCAATATGAAGCTAAGGTTAGAGGAGGTGGGGGAAAAAGGAAGAGGGTAAATTAAAGGGTATAAAGGACACTTTCACAGGTACTTTTGGGAGGATCACCACACTTTAAAAAAAGACAATGCTAAGGTACAACAAGGCCAAAAACACCAAATAGAGAGAAAAAGAAGGCTGTGAACAGTTATGGTCCATTGCAAGCGTTTAAAGATAAAGCCAACCTACACAAAAGTCTGAGTGTGTGATGGCATTCCTTTTTGAGCGCAGAAAAATATCTTTTGCACGCAAATAAATTATACTTTATGATTAAATTATGATAAAAACGAATTAAACTTGAGCAAACAAACATCCCATCTGTTGTATATTTGCTATTATACACAAACGCTCACAATATACAATATACAAATACAATCCCATACTTTTGAACTCTCGTTTTCCATTCGTTTTAGGGATTTCATGATTAGTTCAAACTTGTGTAAACACTAGAAATATGGGTGATTATTTTAATAAATTAGCTTTATGTACTGTACATAACTTGTTTGGTATTATCTGAATAAGAGCACAATTAAAGATAAATAAAAAACTAAAGTTTGTAGCACAAATGCAATCCCATATTTTTTTTTGCTTTCTTGATTTCCATTAGTGTAACATCTCATGTAGAGTTACTCTGAATATAGGGGATCCTTTTAATACTCCAGCATTACGCAATGTATTTGAATTGAGCTAAACACAAAACTGTATTACTACTAAACTCCTTTTTATTTCCCCTCTGTTTGGATGATCCTTATCTTCAGTGTTTTGACCTCCGTTGCTCCACATCAACGATTAAACATGAACGACAGACACTTACAGTTTCCTGAGATGCTGCAGGCTGGTGAAGGCGCCCTGGGAAATCACAGTGATCTGCGTCTGCCTGACTTCCCTGTTGATACAGAAACAACCGCTCACATCAGCTCTCAGCGATACACTCATCACAAGAATGGCAACTGAAGACAAATCTTCACAAAGTCATTTGTGGCCGTTTTTGTTGTGAGGTTGCGAATCCATGACCAGTATTTTCACATTCAGGTTGGGGATTTTTTCTTTTCACACACAAAGTTTTGTGTACTGAATGTCTGTACAAAGATCTCAAGCTTATTTTGCACCTGGTGTGACTCGTAGATCGCATCTAAAATGGCCCTCCAGTGCTGCATACTTGTAAAATATCCCCACTGTTCCTGAGCCTTGACCTTCGAGCAGAACAGAACAGATGAGAACACACACATCGCCGCCTGGGAGTTCGCTGAACTTCTTTTGGGATTGGATGCTACTTCTGCCACAAAGTACATCCTCATCTGTGTGTGTGTGTGTGTGTGTGTGTGTGTGTGTGTCGGCTAGATTTGTGAGTAAGATTATGTACATCTGTACTTCCTAAGTTTGTGTTCATGCTGCAATCTTTATGCTGACCCCCACCGTTCCATCCCCTCCTCCTTCTGGCCTTGAGATTCCTTCAAAACCTTTCAAGGGCCCAAAACAACAGGTCAGTGTGTAAACCCAGCTCTGTGCCACTTTGTCAAAAACACCTCAACCAACCTTCAACCAACACCTACATAACTTTTGAAAGAATAAATTCAATATCCTTCTTCCAAAGTTTGACATTTTAGGAAACAAGATTTTCTTGCCTCAGTTGGGCTAATATGACCAGTAGCGTAAGGTAACTAATGTTAGCTAATATCTTATTCATCTATTTGTGCTACTTTTATTCTTACTTTTAGCACTGATCCCATAACTGTTGTTTGTGAGCAGTTTTGCGCGCATGTGGACAAAACAATACACAGTCCTGCCACCAGTTTCACGCTGTTCCGCTTACCAACAGCCTGGTAGCGGTGATTAAGCTCCCAGGAGGAGCGATGGCTTACATCAGCAAAGAGAGATTTGTAAATCAGGGGCTCCATGGATGTGGAAGATCGCCGGAAGATCCGGGTAACTTTATACTTGAAAGTCAATCTTTTTGTGCCACTGAGCAACTTTCATAGGAATGAATGGGGCCCCGCCTCCAACGCTGTATCTGGTTCTCTCATGAATATAAATGATGCAACATTTTAAATATTCTAAGAAATCAGCTTTGCAAATGTTTTACGCGGAAGAAAATGCATTCAACACGTTTGACAGGCTCCATGGATATTTGTGGGACACATTGAATGTAAATGTAACTTTTGTTTGTTTACAAGAAAACTCTACAGGGCATCTTTAATCCGTGGGCACTTTAGAAAGCTGTGGTTATGCTGGCAGTCGTTGTAGTTGAGCAGACACGCTTTGCATGCATTGCCTTAAGTAAATGAATTTGCAAATTCAGTGTAAAATTCCGCCAGGAGGAGATGAGCCAGGATTATAGAGGAAAGTCTAAATGATTATGCACGCTCATGGGATGTGATATTGAATTGTACACATGCTATGCTTCCTGAATCTGTATTAGTGTGGGATGGCGACTGAAAAATACTATTTTGGGATGTGTTCTCTGAAATATTGATACATGTCACTTGTTGTGCTTGACTAAAGAGACACTACATCGATGTTACACATGAAACTCATCGTAAAGAGCTCTACTCAGACTGAGAAAACAGCTGCATGAATTCTGAGCAGCCTAATGTCTGAAAAAATAAGAGTGATTGATTTCAGGGCTGGAGACTACAAATCTACAACAGACAGTTACATAAGAAAAATAAAAAAATGGAGTTTGAAAGACATGGGCACTGACAAGGCATGGAGGGTCTGAGTTGCGTTAAGGGAATTGTAGTATCCAGTGTTTTTGGAGCTTGACCTGTACTGGAGACTAAAAGTCAGGATATCTTGGCTTTTACTGGTTAATACAAAAAAGACAAACCACAAATAAACTTTCAAACATCTAAAATAAAGGAATGAGTCCAAAGAATAAGAATTGGACATAAGGCTCCATAAAAGCATATAAGTCAATTTCTGTACAGTTTCCAACAAGAAGAGGAACGCGAGAGCTATGCAGCTTTGGCGTTACATTGACGTTGTCGAAATTTCCAAACTATCTCTCCGAGATGCGAGCTTTGCAGCCAGCAAGTAAAATGTAAACATCTACAATTGCTGCAGCAATCCGCTTCCCAACATTGCTGCAGATATTTGTGTGTATGAACGATGTACTTACAGGTATTGGGTGTTGCTGGAGATGTTGGAGGGAATCTCTGCGACCCAAAAGTCCAAAACGTACGAGCAGGTGTCAACTCCAGGTTTTATGTCCATCTCAGGGCCACGCGCCGACGCTGCTGCTGTCTTTATCACCACAAACATTAGCATGATCAGAATCATCACTATCATCATTGCAGGCTGTTGTTCAAAGTCCAGGTTGTTGTGTTTTAGGCTTTTTCAAATCTCCTTGTTTTTCTTCCTTTTATCTTCCCACTAAGATTTTGTTTGTTCACGTTTCTCTATCTCCACGTGGTGTTGCACATGTATACAGGTCTTCCACTAAAACCCACATTCCACATTTGATGTGAATGTTTTTGCTAATTTGTCCGTCTATGCACCCTGGGGGGACCGCGAGGTCGAAGAAAGAAGAAGCGTGAGGTGCTCTGGTGCCTTCTGCCATGCAGTGGTGAATAATGGGGGTGGGACTGGGGTAAAAAGCTCTATGGGTGTCTGAGGATGTAGGAGGTCTCTGTTGGGTTGTGTGTAGACTGTGTGTAAAAAGCACCACATCCTTGCACAGATCCTGATAGGATGTCGTGATAGAGACAATTCTTTTCAACTCTTGCAAATGACGTGCTCAACGTTTCACAACAAGACTCAAGAAAACAGATTTTTTACCAACTGGTTGGAGGTTAAAGAAAAATCATTTTTAAATTTTCTTTTCATATTCCATTTTGTTGGATTAACCAACAATATTATTTATTGATTTATTCAGTTGTATTATTTGGAGGATCCACTTATTTTTAAATTACTTTTCAATTTGAAATAGTTTATTGTTGTTTTTTGGTGAGTAAATCTGGATCAATTACAGTTTAGGAGTAAATAATACAGACATCAGGGAGTATGTTATTTTTGGCTGATTGATTTCTTTTTAGCTTCAGAGTTATGTCAACAAACGAACAAAAAAAGAATAATTATCGGGAACAGGCGTGAATCTGTTTTGTCTCATGTCTCATATTGGTGTTGAAAGATGAGCACACTTTGATAGCGATGGACATAATATTCTTTTCTACAGCACTCCCCACACGTCAGCAGGACAGCCAGCTTGCAAGGACACTCTCTGCATTCACACACTCACTCACACACACACACACACACACACACACACACACACACACACACACACACACACACACACGCCTATGACACAAACAAATCTTTCTTTTTACATTTTCTCCTTTATACATCTTCAGCTTTTGCTTGATTTTTGATACATAAATGCTTGTGGTGTGTTGTGGGAACTCAATGTGGATGAACAGAGCTCTTTATAATTTATTCTAATGCAGGAAGAAAAGCGCAGCCTTGAGCTCTTAACACGACCACACACACACACACACACACTCAAGCACTCTCTCACAGTTTTGCCTATACACAAGGTGAGCAAGAAACAGAAACACAGGGAGATAGAGGCTGACAAATGCAGCTGCACAAAGGAGTGGAAATGAAGGACTGAGGAAGAGGAAGAGGAAGATCCATGGCATCTGTGTGTATGTGTATGTGCTGATACCTGATATGCATTTGTTGATGAATTGTTTGCTGATTGTTCTGCACCTGTGCAGGGGAGGTGTGGATGAAAATATTGAGTAGTTTTTTTTATTATGCTGCAGAATGCAACTATCTCCATTTAATAAGTGGTCAAGTTGTATTGGTGATGTACAAGCCCACACCTTGATTGGTTTCCTTTTCAGAATTTGTTATTGGCCAACATTTCAGTTCATGACAGCTAAAACTAAAGACCAAATGCTTGTGTTACCTGTACTTTAAAACACATTTGAATATGAATGTCCTAAACTGAAGAATAATTAAGCTCTCTCTCCAGTTTTCATCCATCCATGTTTTGTTTTCTGGTGCGCAATGAGCATTACAGCCTTATTGGACTGTGGGTTTGTAAATGTAATTGTTGGTGGTGTATGTTGACTCAAGGTAACGAATAGGCCCCTTTTCAAAGCAGCCAGTTTGACATGTCATAGCAGGTGTAACACAGGTGTAATTGATCAAACTAATTATGCTTCTGTTTAGTGTGTCACTTCCATTCCCGTGAGCCATCATGCGCAATACCAGGGCCTTGACCCACCTTAATGCGACAGGGTCATAATTAACGACGTTATTAATTACACCTGTGTTTACCCTACAATCACATGTCAAAATGGCTGCTGTGAAAAGGGCCTATTGGCCTCTAGCGAGCCCCGGAGTTGTTTCTTATTTACCCCGTGAATATAGCACGGCTGTCTTTATCTTAGCCGACTGTGGTCAAGGACAGTGCAGCGGCAGATGGCTACAGCCTAACACAAGCCTTTTGTTGAGCACAACCTATTCAAAAAGAAAAGGAAAAGACGAGCAGTGAGAGAACCAGACAGCGAGACTCGGGAGGTGTTTATTGAAATAGCAGGTCCTTGTAGCTTCTCTCACCTGAGGATGCACGCTCAGCCCTGCAGTCTCAGGGATCTTTCATCCGGCAAACAGCAACTCTACAGAGACTTATATACGTACCACTCAGTGCACTGAGTCATACTTCAAAGCCCTGTGTGGTGTGTGCGAGGGGGTATTTATGTGTGTCTGCTGTCCCAGTTAGACTCAGTGGGACTTGGAAGAAAAGGTGCAACTTTCCTTAATTTATGGAGCAAGCGGTGAGAGGGAATAGAAATGTTTGGAAATCTACAATGTGTAGATGGTTTGTTGGGAGCAGATGGTTAAAGAAATATTTCCACATTTTGGGAAATATGCTGCTTCACTTTCTGGCAGAGAGTTTGATGTGAAGATCAGCACCACCATCTGCTTGTTTTTTCTTCGCCAAAGAACAATATATTTTCATTATCGATTAATCTACCAATTATTTTACACTCTAATGGAAATGTGGAATTGTATTTCTGCTACAAACGTTTTTAAAACATTTTTATTTGTTTTTCATTGTGTGCTTATGTGCATAATAGCAAACATGCAACAGATGGGATTTTTGTTTCCTCAAATTGAATTAGTGTTTAAATATGTTGGTCTAAGCCATGGACGCTGGTGTTTTCTGTGCTCACAAAGTAATCGTTGTTAAACTTTGTGAAAATCACAAAGGTTTCCATGTTTAATAGAAGCTTTTGTCTTGGATAAGGGTTTTGTCTTAGAATAAGAAAAGTACACATCAGGAGTAACCTGTATTTATTTTTTCAGAAACACAGATGAATAGAAAATGCTGACTTGTGGAACAATGAGACGATTATCCGACTTGTTGCCTCTGTTTGCAGACATGATTGATTAATCGTTGAAGTCTCAAATTTAAAAAATGTACCTGCATCTCTAAATCAAAATATTTAATATGTGGTATGGTGGTTGTTAAGTGCAACAATAAGACAAGTATTTAGAATAAAGGTGTCAACATAGGAGTAAAAACGATATGGTCTGGTAAACACTTGACAAAATGACAAATTGTAATTTTCCAACTCCTGTTTTTGTACAGATGAAACAAACGTGGTATAACATGCTAATTAGTGAGCTTATAGGAGCTGCCTGTGTCCCCGTTTCCAGCAGTGTATCTAACAGACAGACACTGGTATTGATATTCTCGTTTAACTCTCCACCAGAAGGCAAATGTTGAACTATTCCTTTAAAGATCTGCTTCCTAACACAATATGATTTGCTTTTAGTTTGTGTTAATCGGCCACTTATCTGCTCTCATGGCCGACGTGAGACGCAATATTTCTGTCTGCAGGTTAATGGGAGCAAAAACCAACACACAAACGCACTCCAGGCTCACTTGGGTAATATTTTATTTACTCGTTAATCTTCAAAACTATTTTTCATAATAAATTTCCACTTTATGTTCATCAAAGAACCGTAACAATAAAAATAAAAGAAAATACTGTAGAAAAATTGTACATATAGAAAATAAACATGGTTAATGAACACCTAGATGTAGAATCCCATTGATTGAGACTCCTCCTTTGTTTCTGATGGCAACACAACAGAGATAGAGGGAAAAGAAAGCGATAGACAAGGAGGCACTGGGAGCGCAGAGAGGGAAACATACTAAACGAGGGGAAAACAAGAGAAGGGAGGAAAAGGAGGTCAAGGCCAGTTGAGGATGGAGAGAATAAGGGAATATGTTAAGTTAATTTTATACTTTGAAATCTCACACAAAGTCCTTTTTATGTCCTTTTTTGCTCTCGAGCATTTTGCATGCATCTGTCTGGTTGGTTACGTTGCTTGGAAGATCTGGAGGGGTTCATGTCATGGCACTGTTTGTATTGATGTATCGTGGGGCTACAATTCTTGAGCTATAGAGGGCTCAGACACTGCAGAAGTCCAAAAACAGATAATAACACTGTAGCCCGGATCGGAAACCCACCCGTCTGTCCTGCATTGGTCACGTCATGAACATTGATAAATCAGTCAACTAATAGCATGAAGACAAAAGGACACAAAGAGAAAGAGAGAAAAGGGAGAGCCAATAAAAATTGAAGCAACTCAGGTTGTCATATAGTCAATGACATCGTGAACTGGACTTTTCTATCTATTAGCAACACATGGTAACATTTACTTTGTCCTGTTTTGATTCTTTTCCCTCGGCTGTTTTTTGCTAAAAAAAGGTGGTTGGTTAGAGCAGGTATAGTGGGCGTGGCCTATAAGACATCAGGCTAGAAAACAGGACATGGCCTGTGGTGGACGCACAGATCCAGGCATTGCGCTGGAGTTACACTGCAACCCGCAACACCCCCCCCCTCTCCTCCTCCCACAAACCTACCACTTCTGGACTTATTAGTGGGACACTCCACCACTTCACAGCACAGCTCAGAGACTCAGGCATGCAGCACACTCGAGATGGTCACACTTTGTCAACGAGGATTTTGAACTGAGAGTCGAGTCGGAGATTAAATCGTGGTTGAATCCCACAGACTGAAAACCGTTTTGAAGTGCGTGTTTAGGAATACTTCAAGCCAAGGTGGTAAGTTTATGATGGTGGTGCATCACGGTGTAACCTCTGGAGTTTCAACGCGGTATAAATCACACGGAGTAAGATAATTCACGTGCAATAAGACCCCCCCCCCCTCCCTTCCCCAAAGAGTCTATTCTGCCCAAATGTTCTTCATAGTCATCATTATCATTGCAATAACAATTATCATAATGGTCATTGTCATTTTCACCATTGTCTTCTTGTATAGTCTTCAGTGTCAGTTATGAAGATATGGTGGGTCTTTAGCATTGCAGGTACGTGTATGTCTGCAGGTTTAGATTGTTTTAATTTTTTTCTGTGTGTGCATGTGTGCTGTGTGTGTGTACATGTGTGTGTAACACCGCAGTCATGTGCGACTGGTGCCTGTAGGTAGCATCTGAAGTCTCAAGTATCCTGTCCAGGAAAATATCTCTCAGTTTTTCCACTGATTCCACCTTTTGTGATTTACAGGGTGCCGTAAAAACATCAGCACCACAACCCATCCATTATGTTAACGGCACCAGCCATGCCTCTGCCTATTCACTCGTAAGTCACTGTCTCTATGGCTACACCCTGATTTCCTGTCCCCGTCGCTTGGGGTAAGACTTGGACCGCTAGTGTGCTTGTTTCTTCAGCATCCTCGGTGCTTCAGCGAGTCCCATCTGCTGACAAAGAGGAAGGCCAAGAAGCTTGGAAGAGACACTTAGTGCTTGTCTTGGCGCTTTTACTTCATCTTTGTTCTGCTGGCCTCTCTCTCAGCACACTCAGTCTGCCATGTGCTTCACTTAAAAGTCTTCCTTGACCTCTTTGAGTCCAACACAAGAGGTCCCACTGTGGCAGGGGGAGTGACTGGTCTTTTTTATCTGGCTGGCTCCAAAATGGTTCTTTACTGGGAGTTGAACTGGTGCATTTTTATCATTTGGAATGGTGTTTATGTTCATAAAATAAGTCTCTCTCAGAGGCTCTGCTCATTGGTAAATACTGTACAATAAGGGTCCATGCCCTTGGGCCAGTCTGTACGTGTGTGTGTGTGTGTGCGTGTATGTTTGTGCTTAAATGTATGTGTGCTTGAATGTGTGTATGTTTGTGCTTGCCAGCTTGTGTGCAGATGTAATTATTGGAGAGTAAACATTAACATCAGCATGTCTATGTCAGTGTGTACGGGTGTATCTTCTTTTTTTTTGAGAATATATCTATTTATGTACATATACCGTTATATATAAAGGTGTATGCGTATATGTCTGCACGTTGGACGTCTTCCGACCTCAGACGTAGTACTCCTTGTCTTTGTTCTTCTTGTTCTTGGAGATCTTGGCGATCCCCAGCGGCTTGTCCTTGGCGCTGCCGTTGGGCTGTGTGGCTGAGTTGCTGATGTAGTTGCGGCTCTCGTCCACGTGGTAGGAGCCCTCGTCGCGGTTGCGGTACTTGTACATGGCGTAGAGGAGGATGAGGATGCAGAGGGCCGCGGCCGCCACGATGCCCACCACCATACCCGTGGTGCTGCTGCTCTCCCGAACCACCTCGGATGGAACTGAGAACACCTTCACCTCCGGCAGGGGAGGGCGGGCTGTGAGGGGAGGCAAGTCATGTTACATCACAGTTTACGGCATTATTGATTTGTATTACATGCCAGGGTGATGGTTGGAGGGCTGGAGCAAGAAGATACAATGTATTATCATGATGAATTATTTGATCCGCTTTTTGCATAATGATACGTGCTGGCAAGGGAAGGCTGCAGCTTAGAGCCAAAGCCATTTGCATATTATCACATAATGTGTAAACAGATTACATTACACCATGTTGAGATGACGTGCCAGAGCACAGGTGCACATTATTTCGCTTTTATTACATTTGACACTTTATGGCATACACAGGCAGCGAGGGCTGCAGAGTGGTGATGTACAGCATGACACCATATTAAATGATTATTGGTGAAAGAATATTGTACGCACTGAATGGAGTAGAGTGAGGGGGAAAAAAGGAAAAGGAAAAAGGGAAAGAAACTGCTGTAAAAAGTAGATGAAATAAGGGATAAGGGAAGGTGAGGGGAGGGTGAAAGCAGAGGAAGAGATGGAGATGAAGATTGGGGAGTGGATGGAGAGTGTTAGGTGATGCCCAGAGGCAAAAACCTAAGTGGAAATGAAAAATTCATTTTTGCGAGCGACCAAGCGGCAGGAAAAAAATGGGCGTTAGGGATTGTGGTGAACACATGAAGGGAAAAAAAACCTTCAAAGAGGCGGTGTGATGTGAGTGTTTGTGCGGGAGGGGTAGTCTCACCTGAACTGGGGTCACAGGGGTCAATGTCTTCGTCATCGCTGGGACACTCAGCGGACGCCACCAGCAGGTCGTCTGCCGACTACGGAGAGAGGAAACAGTGGGAACATGAACACACGTACACAGACACAAAGTCTTCAGCCTGTGCTCCACACCCCTTCTGTTTATTTTCTACATGTGTGAGCACACAGCACCAATGCATCGCCCACTCGTTTTCCAGTTTGCCACAAACACTTTGGCTGTTACGGCCCCCGGCAACGGCAGGCGTACCACGGAGAGAAGAAGAAAAGAGGAGGGAGGAGAGAATCATTGAATTCTGTTTAAAGTCACAGGGGGACAGTCAGTTATCATCTTCTCCTCGCTTGACCCTCCCCCTCTTTTTTCTCTTCTGGCCTTTCCATCTCCCACACCTCTCCGCTTCCCTCTGTTCTGCTCTCTCCATCTGATATTGGCTAATGTTCATGTGAGCATGGAGAATGCGCAACGTGAAGCCAAAGAGAGGAATAAATCCACATTCTTTATTTCCATTAAATATTCCAGTCATGCGCTTCATTTAAATCTCCTTTATTTAACACCTCTCCACAAGCACCATGTCAATAACCCACTTACGTTCGCACTCTAACCTACATCAACCGAGTGATATCTCAACAATCGCGTATCGTCCGCGCCTCGCTCCCTCTCGATGGGAAAGGCGCCCTTTTTCCTATCCATCCTTGCTCCTCCTGTTGCCATGGCAACTCTAAGTTCAAGCTGTTAAAAATGATGGGGAATAAAAAAAAGGAGTATGCACTCTCAGTGGGGACCTGTGCATTGATTTGCCATTCCAGCCAGTGGTATGAGGAGAGGGGGGGCAGTGAAAGATAGATTGATGGATAAAAGGAATTTCAGGGGAATATGGGAGAAAGAGAGATAAGAGAAGACAGGATAGGAGGAGGAGGAGGAGGAGGACTTCAAAGTGCTGCGGTCTTTACTCAACACCTTGCTAATGTGCCCGCATATTCATGAACTATACTGTTAAATATCGCCCGCCCTGACGCTTCGGCGTGAGATATGTGAATATGTGTGTGTTTTTTAACCACACTGGGCGCTCAGTGCCAGTACTAAATTAAAATTGGATTGTGATGCATTGCAGTAGATGCTAGAAACCCACAGAATAAAGGAGAGAGGAGAGAGAGCTGCAGAGCTATAAAAGAGATGAGCTCTCGATGCAGATTACAACCAGCCCAGAACAGAATCTGAACCAAATGAAAGTACTAAGTGCTCCATGATGTCTTAGCTAAAAACCTACAAGCTGAAATTCATTAAGCTTTTTTTTTATCCTTGGTTCCTTTATTTCTTTGCCTCCTCGCCTTTGTAAGAACATATTACATAAGGTTAGAGAAAGCAAGCACTGAGTTCATTCATCTGAAAAAGCCCGCACTGGCAAGTCGGTTTAGTTTGGCCTGAAACATATATTAAGTTATTGATGCTTGACTCTGTCTCTTTCCTCCGCTGCCTTTCCAATCAGTTCTGCCCACTGGGCTGTCAAATGCTGCTAGGGTGAGCTTAGCCTCTGGAATCCAGCCAGTCAATAAACCTCTGTGCCTTTGCCAGGATCCAAAGAGCACAACAACCAATCAGCCAGTAGGAAACACATCACCCCTGTCTGTCACTGATCAATGTTGTGCCACCATGCTTGATTATTGATCCAAAAGACACCTATATGTGCCCTCCACGGGAGCCTGTTTTGAATCCTAAATTTCAGTAAAACCAAAGCCGACAAGTACATTTAACAATGCCCCTCCCACCTCCCCTCGTCAGCTGACCACCCCATTCAACCGGCAAGGTGTCAATTGGAATATTGATCCACCTATCACATGGTAGACAATGCACACAAGGAAAACTAGAGACATGCCAGACACAACTTAAATCACATCAATAACCCACAGAAGTGTATAGAAGATGCACTAAAGAGATATGTCCAAGAGACCCCCGCCCCTCCGTCTCACCCTCCCTCCGTCCCTCCCTCTTTGCCCCCATCTTTTCAAAGTCTATCAATAGAGCATGCGGACATAATGATGGACACAGATGCACAACGATAGGAGGGGATAAAAGAGACACAAAAGGGAAGAGAAAGGGAAGAGAGAGAGAGCATGAAGAGAAGGATATCTGCATGCTGAAAGAGTAAAATCTCTACCTGAGCAGCCGAACAGTGCCAACGACCGTCCATGCCTCCCTGACTGCCTAGTTCACACATAGTAGCTGCCCTCTGTCCTCACACACTCTTGCAGGAGATTCAACAGCTTGTCAGTTACTTTCACAACTGGAAATCAAACACACATGTACACACGCAAGCTCTATGATAGCCAAACACGATCCATTGCTCCTTTGCTATTGAGACACATCTACACAGGCACACGAAGCATACACCAAATCAGGCTGAAGTTGGCAGGCTAATGAAGAGATCCTGGCGAGAGAGGAGAGAAGCTAGCTCCACTACTGCAGATGGTGAGATAGGGAAAAGATGTGAACAAGGTAGCGGGGAAAGAAGGGAGGGGTAAATATGGAAAAGCTATGGAGGGAGAGAGAGCGCAAAGGAGATTGAGAAGAAAGGAAAAGTGGAAAGTGAGCGAAGGAGGAAGGAGAAAGAATCTCCAGAAGATGGATAGCGCGCAGAAGAAAAGTAAGAGGGAGGAAAAGATGTGAACAAGGTAGCGAGGAAAAAAAACCAGACAGGGAGGGAGGATGGGAGCGAATGAGCATTAAGTGTTCAGAGAGCTCGTAGAAGTGTCTGGGTCAGCTGACTCCTGATAGCCAATCGGGCGGCGCTCTGAGCCTCAGGTTTCTTCTATCAGTCTTCCCGTCGAGCACAGGTACACACACACACACGAGCGCACACATCCACAGACAGACACCGAAGATCAAAAAACCAAAAACTCGACTCTGTGACTCAGAGCAGCCTCTAGCATAAACACTCACACATTCTCACACAATCTCTCTCGCTGGTGCTCAGCTGTCATGCATTATTAATCCCTTTTATTTTTCAACATGCAAAAGAAAAAAACAACAGTGGACTTCAGGAGGAGGCACATAACACATTCTTACTGCACAAAGTACTGTCAGTAAGAGTGAACCCATGGGGGCGGGGCACTTTAAAACACACCCTCGGACCCGAAGCACCTTTGGAAGACATCTCTCACTGCCCCTCCTGTGATGCAATGTGGTGCAATTCAAGCATATTGTTCTCAATCCACCTGAGTGTTTGTGTGTGTGTGTGCAGCCTGTGTTCACATTATGTGTGTGTGTGCTGGTTAAGGCCAGGTTGGTTGCCAGGCAACACAAGGCAGCCTCAATGGAGAGGCTGTAGATTATTCTTAAACAAGACCAACACACACACGCACACGCACACACACACACACACACACACACACACACACAAAGTTTGGGGGCCAGCAGGAGTGATTTGACTTCCATAGATAAGCACACTGCATCACACTGAGCATATACTGGGTCTGACCTAGTTCTCATACAGTGATATTGACTCCGGTGCACATCTCTAACTCATCCCAGATTTAGCACTTACATCAGCATATCACAAGAGCAGGAATACACACACACACACACACACACACACACACACACACACACACACACACACACAAACAGGGAGAGAGATTGAGAGGTGAAGTGTAAAGCCAAGCCCTTGTGACAACGCTGTCACTCTGCGCCGCTATCCCTCCAGCTCTCACATCCATTATTGATGCCTGAGGCTCAGCTCACAGCTCTCTGCATTCTATTATTTATGCCTGAAACAGCTGGTGGTTTATATACACAGAGGAGCTATTCTCTATGGGAGCCTGGATGAGGGAGAGAGAAAGCAAGCAGCGGGTATAGTGGGGCTCACCATCTCCATGGCAACTTGTATCAAAGTCTTTTTCAGTGCGGCACAGTTTTATAACACAGAAGAAGAACTGCAGCACACACAGACGCCCACAAAGAGCCTGACAACATCACACTAGTGATCTGAACAAAAGAGCTGAAGAGTCTTTGGTGTACCTGCTGATAATGTTTCCTCTGACATTAGCTGCATCCACTATAAATATGCCTCAAAACAACAGTTATGTGTTTCTATAGCAGAGGCCCATTTGCATCAGTTTAGATGCATATTATGGAAAAGCTATTACAGCCTCCATTAACACAATCATTTCTCCTCCTGTAATTTAGTGGGTGGGGACCACTTACTTGAAAATGTGCCATCTAATCCACTCATGAGAATGTGTACGTGAGCCTTTAATGATGAAAGGGTTCTGGCTCCATCTTATTTATTAGCATGTTACTTTTGATAAAGATGACGATACCGAGCAAATATAAAACACTATTAATCATTAATCAGAAAGAAACAACAAACATGTTGCATATATTACTGCAACAGAGAAATCACAGTAATATGTAGACTCTTCAGATACATGGTGTTTCATTTCATGTTTGTAAATCAGTGACCAAAGCCTTATTTAGTTCCAAAAGCTCCAAAGAGCTGGAGCTAACTTACAGATGATAGAAGACCGCGGTCTGGCTGTGGACCTTTGTTGCATGTCATCACATCTCTTTGATGCCTCTTCATCTCCTGTCAGCTTTCCACTGTGTACTATCTAATAAAGGTTAAAATGCCTGAAAAACCCCTTTATGTTCTCCTATTTCTTTGGATGCATCTTCAGCATTCATCATTACGCTTAGATCCTGAACTACCTTATTTGTTTTTGATTTCTTCAAAATGTGTCTTTGATGTCTTCTTAACTTCAAGACCTTATGTAAAACTGCTTTGTACGAAATGTGCAGTATGAATAAAATATCCTTGCCTTGAGTGGAGTATAAAAAACAATCCCACTCCTTCTGACATATCTCGCTATCCTCTAGTCCTTGATCAGTGGGCGATGTGCTTGCTAATCCTCTTACTGAGTTTGAAAAGAAACTTATCAAAGCAAATTAACACTTTTTAATTATGAATTGTCACACCAAAGAATGCTGAAAGTGGGCTAATATGACATATATGTTCAAGATGAGGAATTACACAGAAGGACCACACACTAAGGGATTAAGTGAGTTTTCCACACACAAGTTAAATATGTGATCGTGCTCTGACCTGCTGTGTGGCGCCCTGCTTCCTGTTGGTGGCCGTGGTGGTCGTGATGTCATTCATGGAGGGGGCGGAGTCAGAGCGGTTGCCTCCAGCTGCAGCGCTGGACTGCGGGGTGATGGAGGAGGACGGCATGTCGCCGACCAGTCGCGCGCTGCCGTCCACTTTGATGTGCGGATGCCCCTCGGCGGCCATGTTGAGGATGCGGAGGCCATTGTAGTAGAGTCCAGACAGCTGGCCCTGGAACATGCCTGCACTTCGCTCGACTCCCCCGACACGCACCGTCGTCTGGCTGTTGAAGATGGTCAGCTGGCGACCTACACGGACACAGGCGCACACATACGCACAAACACGCACCAGACACACAGAGGCACACCAGGAGGGAAGGTGGACAGACACACGCAAATACAGTCACACACACATACATACCGGCGGTCACATACGTGCATACACACACACACAACAGTGTTTGAGTGTTACACAATCCACCACCCCCAAGCCATGGTGAGAGTATGGGATAGATTAAGCATGGCAGAGCAAATCGAAGCCGTGGAGAACCGTGGAGAAGAGCTGAGACTGTGAGAGATAAGAGTGGGAACGGAAAACAGAGAATAAGAGGAAGAGGAGGAAAGAGTGGGGGTGAAGAGACTGAGAAGTCGAGGAGGAGGAGGAGGAGGATGAAGAGGCAAAGAACAGAAGGAGGAGGAAGAGGCAGCAGATGAGAGGAGTCAGTGGGTCCTGAGAAGATGGGGCTGACAGATGGTTGCAATGGTGATGGCTGTATTTGAAGGAGCAACAGACAGAGATCTAGGGAACTGTTGTAACAGCCCTATGAAGCATGCACAGGTTATAAGTTCTAGCACTGCTCACTGTTAAAGGGACTAGAGGCTAATTTAAGGACCTCTGCTGAAGTTTAGGAGGAAAACTTTTACATTCTTTTTTTTCAAAAAGCATTGCTCTATTAGTCATTTCAAATTTACATAATTATTCCATGTCACAATACTTTTTGCTTGTACTTTAATTGGATTACAAAATAGTTTGTCAACATATAATCTTTAATGAATGCTTTATCGTTTACAATTTTGATAATAAACACAATTATTTACCAGTCTTAATAAAGCATCTTTTTATCATACTATTTTCTGATTTATTCACATTTAAATCTCTCCATCGTCCCTTTAACCTGATATTATCAGATACACACTAACAAGATACGTTCACAGGCACTACAGTTTACACAGTATTACACACTACAGCTGTCCAACTTTTAAATACTTAGTTATGGATTTATTTTTAGATGTTAGTTGATGGTGCACAATATAGTATATTCAGCTGTCTTCAAATTGTATTTTTTAAGCTCAAAGTTTTAAGGAATTTTAATCAGGGTTTTTACCTTTGTCGAGTAGCCAATCGTCAACTACTCGACCGAGCCGATAGGGGATTCGCTGTCTGGCGATGGCCAGGCGCTCGTTATCAATGTTGCCTTTAATTTAGAGATGAAAACACAGTAGTAATTACGCACATCCAAACGTGGTACAGGAGCTGGATACAAAAAGAACAGCAATGAAAAGAAAGTAATGGTCTGCTCATTGTCAGCATGTCACTGCGTTAAGCTTGATGTGCTCAGAGAAGAGGAGTTGAATTCACTATGTTTCCAGTGAGCGGACTCTTACTCTCTGTTCATTGGGTTTAATTTAAAGAGACATTTCAGGGGTTAACATCTGCAAGAGCACAGGGAAATAATGTTACAGCTGCCACATACTGTCTATATAACTGACTGGGTTTAGAGTTACAGACAGGAAGAAGCCTCACACACACCTCACAACAACTAGCATTTAGCATTTTAACTATCAGCTATCTAAAGCCTGGACCTCATTGTGTTAAAGACTACTACCTAAGATTACCACTTTAAATATAAAAAAACAACAAATATAAAAACAAAAACTATGTTCAACAAAATACACTTTTTTCTTTTTCTTATTTTTTCCTCTCTAGTTAAACATTTAACTCAACATATGACATGTTTTTTTAATTATTATTTGACCAAGAATGCACCAACTGTTATTATTTTCTTTTACGGTGAGAAAAACAACTGACACCTGAATTGAATATTTTCATAAATTACCTTTAACACTATTTAACAGGCCTAACATGACATAGCTGGCTAATATACAAGCTATTGTAATAACTGTCTCTTTTTATGGTTTAAAAAGTCATGTTTCATATCAGATCACACATATTTCATTTCAAACACAATAACATAAAACAAAGCTTGCAATTAAATTTCTCAACCTTGATGTTTAAATAGAAACATTGATAGAAACACTGATGTGATTCACCAATCAGGAGCTGGGTTGATTTGGACTAAGGCGTAGTTAACTCTGTCCCAGGACAGGCAGTGCTGTAGAGGGTCGAAGTGTTGGGCTTATGTGGGGGGGGGGGGGGCAGGGCCTACCTGAGGGATAGCGCTCTATGACCGGCAGGTCGTCCAGTTGGAGGGTTGCATTGCCTCCGCTGCGGGTGAACCGAATTATGTGGTACTTTCCATCGTTGACAAACTTGGAGCTCTCCTCGATGTTGATGTCATCAGTGCCAACGTTAAACACTACTCTAATGTTGCCTTTATCCTGAGGAGGAGGAGGAGGAGGAGGAGGAGTACAGAAATGCCTCATGAGATATTTTTATAAAATTGTAAGGATATCATTTCTTTCTTTGTTTTTCAGGCCCTAGGTTATTGTTCTTAATGCCTAATAATTTGTGTTACCATGAGACCTTTCTTATGTTCTCCACCAACTCAAAGTCTGTTCACAGGAGTTTGAGAGTACTACTGCATGTGTAAACACATTGTATAAAGCCTTTTGTGGCTCCAGAGGGAGCTGCATGAAATCTGATACATTTCCTCAAGTGATGGCAAATGTGTCATCAACAGATGGAAAACAAAAACAAATCTGGGGGTGTGGAGTTAGAAAGAAGGGAGCTTACCGGACGTCTGTAACCTGTTCTTCATCTCTGCTTGAGGCTAGTGGTTAAAGGCTAAAATAACCACTACTAGCATAGCACACCTGAATCTCCTGTCTGCTGTTGTGTTGCATTGTTGGTAACGTAGGCACCAGGTTTTGAAAAGGAAGTATGATGCATAATATAAAAAGGATGATATCTCTGGTTTTGCTGCATCATTTTGCACCCTTTTTTTTCATTCAGTAGAGTACCATTACTCTTTTATCTTCTTTATGTTGCTATTTTGGCCAGGTCTCTCTGTTAGAGAAGAATATGCCAATGTATGCATTGAACATATTAATTCCTCAAGGAAGAGCAATATGTAAAATAACTTAAATGATTCATAAATATGAAAAATCACATTTTCTTTGGTCTAGTTTTTGAATGCACATGTGTTTACTTACTATCTGCAGCTGAAGGTAGTCACCCAGGCCAGACGCGCTGTCCACCCGGAGCAGAATGGCGTGTTTCTGTTGGGTGCTGAACCCGAGGGCAAGCCGGTCTGCCCTGGTGCTGGGGCGTTCATTAGGAGGCCACGTGTAAACCACCACGCCTCCATCACGGCCAAAGATATAAGTGGTCCCAGCTGGCCCACACATATAACATTTTTTTTAATTACAAGCAGTCTATATGCCATAAACAGTGCTATCTATCATCAGAGGTTACGTACTGCAGATTGCACCTATAGGCCTATTTTTCTGTTAAATGTTTAATATATAAGGGGCATACTGGAAAATAATATTAAAAACTCATAAATGTCACAGTTGACTGACCTTTTACATTTAGCTTGTTCCTCCTACACGCTAAAATTGGAAAATAAAAACTGTATTTCCCAAACTACTTCTCAACATTACTGCAGGAGGCTGACTGCAATAACTGTCTCATGAAGACTGCTGCATACAATTGTTGGACTCGCTGCATGATGAATAAAAAAAATCGTCAAGTATCTTCTTGTAAGGCTGCTGAGGATAATTAGTTAAAAATGTAAAGAGGACATTATTGAAGAGAATTGGAAGAATCAAACTAGACATTGAGCAGGTGGTATTTTTGTCCCACTTCAGAATCAACAGTTGACAGTGCCCTCACCTGGCAGCTCTGATAAAATGCACACAACAATGCTTTGATTGAGTGTTTGAAACCAAATCGTCCAAGTGCAACAGTTTAGTGCAGTTATATACACCAGGGAGTGTTTTCTACAGTTTAGAGAAGGTTAGCCTAAGGAACAAGGGTTGACAGAGAGAAGTCGACACATAGCGTCTACAAATGCACTTTTAAACCTGACTGCTCTATGATATTTTTCTGTGAGAGAAACTGAAACGCAAAGACTCACCGTCATTGCATAGTGGACCAGCATACGACGTCATGCTGCAGTCACAGGTGAAGCCTTCCCACTGCTGCAAACAAACTCCCTGATTTGAGCATGAGTCTTCTTGACATGTAGTGCTGGGACCTGCAGTGAGAGAGGTGGTGGTGGTGGTGGTGGGGGGGGGGGAAGTTAGGAGAAGATAAGCAGACATACTTTTTTGACTTTGTCTGGAGCCCAGTGTTTTCACAACAGTATGTCAGTATACTTTGGGTGTTTTTAGACCACATTTCCTTGAAGTATTTTGCATTTTGAAAAGGCCCGGTAGACTGCGATGATGTTATGATTAGTAGTATTAGTAGAAAATCATTGTGAGACTAGGATATTGTGGATAGGCTCCCATTCTTTACGCTAACAGGAGATGCTGGATTATGAATATAAACTGAGCTAAAAACTAAACTGGAAATCTGTGTCATGAGGTTAAAAGAGCAAACTGTGGAGAGCATGCAGGTGGTGAGGCTAGATGAATGGGGCAAGGACAGGAGGAGGAGTTTAAACATAAGAGGGCAGAGTTATGTTTACAGGCCTTCATCTCAATACTCGTTCATCAGCAGTCTGTCGCCGTTCGCTCCCCGCCTCGTGCTAAAACCGCATAGGAGGAAAATGTCAAAGCTCCGAACTCAAATCTCCTTCGTTGCACTTCTGGCACGAGGCGTGGAGAAAAGGGTGTGAAAGGATTCACAAGTGGAGTATTGAAGTTTAGGATGGGAGTCAGTAGGAGGGGTTAGAGAGCATGCTGCTAGGCAACCCGGGTGGTGGAGCTGTGGTCAACTCAAGTCAAGCGGTGGTGATGTCACTACTGTGATGAAGTCACTATGGTGGCTAGGAGAGGACAGGTCACCTCTGACCTTTGACTCTGGATCACTGGGATCCACACAACACTGGACACCACTGGGTAGTTTCAACACACGCATACCTACATACACACCCACACACACGCATTCACACACTTGTCCACACCCTCAGACACGTGTCTCACATGCGCACACAAAGCGATATACCTTGCAAGTCAGCTTTCATCAATGTAACTTTTGTCGGCCAAACAAAAAAGCAAACAAGCAAATTAAGTTAGATGGTTAGTCAATGCACACAGATGCCTGTGAACTGCTGAAAGAGTGGAACAGAGAGAGGGAGAAGGAGAGAGAAAACACAATGTGCAGAAAGATCGAGGAGGAGATGAGAAGAAAGAGAGTCAACTTTACATCTAATAGACCAGAAGCTGGGTTAGTGGGTTATCCTAATAACAGAGAGCATGAGTTGAATGAAAACTGAAAGAAAAAGCAGTAGGGACACGGGACCGGAGCAGATCTACTGGTGTGTTTTCGTCCGTGTTTGCACCTCACCTTCACAGCCTCTCTCTACTTGTCCCATGGTCGCCAGTGCATCAGCCAAAAGGTCAGGGAGCCGGCCATTTAGATCAACTGTTGCTAGGCAACCCTGAAATCCCTCGCGGGAGTGGACCAGCTTCGGAAGGTCTCGGTACATCTCTTTGGAGACGCCCCCGATATACAGGTCACCTGACGAGGAGCAACACAATGAATGGCAGCTTCGTGAAGCAGTCACAATGCTGTGTAAAGTGGCAATGCTGCAAATAATGATTTTCATCATTGATTGTTAAAGACATTATTTTTGTGATTCATTTATTCATTAAAAGGTTAAAAAATATTGAATAGGGTCTTTCAATTGATTGTTTTGTTCGACCAACAACCCCGAACCCAAATATATTCAATTAACACTGATAAATAAAAGAGGAAAAGCTGAAAAACATTCAGATTTTTAAAGCTGGACCCAAAGAATATGTTTTTGTTGTTTTTTGATAAATTAAAAAAAGTGTATCGATTATGTAAATTGTTGGCCATGGAACAATTTGACATTTTGGGAAACACACTTATTCGCTTTCTTACTGAGTGTTTGATTAGAAAATTGACACCACTCTCATGTCTGTACCCCCAGGGGACGGTTAGCTTAGCTTAGCACGAAGACTGGAAAAAGAGGGAAACAGCGAGCCTGGCTCCGTCTGAATGTCAGACAGACAGCACCTCTTTAGTTCACTGGCCAAGAAATACAGCAGCACAGAACTCATACAATATTTAACCTGTTAATTAGTGAGCTTGCTCTGAGGTGCTGGTGGCTTCATTTTCATTTATTATACGGACATGAGAGTAGTATCAATCTTCCCATCTGACTCTCTTTAAGCTTATTTCCCAAAATGTTGAATTTTTCTATCAATCGTTTCAGCGTAATCAGTATATGTATACATACTTATAAGCTACTGTAACTGAGGTATCACTGCTTGTATTTTTGTGCATACCCTTTAGGTCGAGGTTCTTGGCGCCCATGGTGGTCTGCGTGGTGACTTTGGTGTCAATCTTGACTGTGTGGAGATTGTTAGTGTCTCTGGATATGTGCACGTTGTGCCAGTGGTTGTCATTTAGGGGACTGTTAGAGTTGCCCTTGATCAGGTGTGCACCATTGCCCAGGTCCGAGATGTAGTGTAGGTAGCTAGAAAAGGAACAAGGAAAGGAACGTAATGAGGAGGAGAAAAGGGCAAATTAATCTTATTCATGATGAAGAACAACATAGGGTCAAATACTTCAGGGTATTATAATCTGTCTTCTAGAAACATAATTACAAGAGTAGAAAAAAAGCTGCTTGACTCGTGCATTTTTTATATTTGATATTTCAGCCTCAAGAATTTTCTCTTTTTATTCATCAAGGACAATGTTCATTGTAAATCCCAGGCTACATTGAACATGCACATGCATTTATGCAAGACAGATATAACCATAAAGACATATTTAAACCGCATATTAATTAATTCCCCTTTAAAGACTTTGCACTGACTCGTGTAATGTAAATACCACACATTGCCCAGCTCACCCTTTAACCAGCTCTACCACTATGAAGTCATTGCCGTCTCCCCTGTTGTAGAGAACGAGACCGTCGGGGGACGTCGTCTTGAACTGCATGAAGAGATGCATGGAGTAGTAGGCCTGCAGCGTGGGCAGCGTGACGAAACTGGAGCGCGAGCGGAACGTGACGGGGTCGGCCACGATGCTCTTATAGCCGATAACGGCGTTGAGCTCGCAGTAGTCGATGTCGCCGTTCTTGCAGAGGTCGATGTAAGGCATGCCGTTCAGCGTCAGGCCCTGAAGGTGGCCGATGAAATTCGAGGGCACGGCAGGCATGAAGCGCTTCTCCGTCACAATACCCGTCTCCACATTGTGGAACTCCAACTGGGTGTGGTCGCCCGCCATCTGACCTGGTGGCGGGGGGTAAACTTCAAAGGTGAGGGCTTCAAGTGGAACTGTTCAAACTAAAACTAAAACTGATCCTAATACTAATCCTAATGCTTATTCCAACACTTGAACAAACACTGACAGACTGCTAGAAATAGATGTAACAGACGCTAACACTATAAATAAGACTACTAAATACTAGCGCTGTAAAGTTATGTTTACAGTCATAATTCAGAATGATTATTTTCACTTACACAGGCACAGATGTTCTCTAAAAAAGAAATAAAACCCTTAATGTTGGTCTTATAGCATTAAATCAAAAAAAGACAATCAACCAGCAGTTTATCGTACAAAATATTTCCACAAAGATGCCTACACACAGACTCAAACAGCTTGAAGAGGTAAAGGTAATGCTGCTGTGATTACCTTCAACAGGCTGCAGGTCGTCCACGGTGAGTTTGAGGCCCTTGCCACGCCGGACTACCCTCACAGTGTGCCACTCATTATCATTGAGGCCCGACCCCGCAAAGATGGTCTCTGGGCCTTTACCTACACATAGCCCAGAGCACCATTAACATAATGCACAGAGAGGCAGAGAGACACAGATAGAGAGAGAGACAGGGGAGATAGAAATCCAGAGACAGAGATAGAAAAAGAGAAGAAGAAGAAGAAGAAGAAGCCAGGCAGGTTGAATTAAAATTTAAGGACAGAGAGTGAGGGCATGGAGGTAAATAGCAGAGGGAAGGGGGAACCATACATATCCTGGGGAGACAAACACCTCCATGTCAATGCACTCTCTCCACAGATAGACAGACAGGTCACTTTGCAGATACGCCAGCGAGACGAATGATGTGACGAAAAACAGACAGATAAACAGAAAGATTAACGTAAATGGATGCCATGGGTTCCTAAGATGGAGACTGTGAGTCACAACAGGCCCACGCTGAGACAACCCATCTGTGGACGGATCGCACTGCCATGATGACCACCTACTACCCACACATGAACAGACAGAACATTCGCACCCCCTTGATTCCTCAACAGCCCCCGCACATCTAACATATACAGAATATCAGCCTGCGTCTACATGCAGGTTCATTTCTTTATTTTCCACTAGAGCGCAATCCTGCGACCAGCCTCATGGTGGCACTAGACACACATTGGAACATCTCAGAGAGCTCTCCAAGGTGCTGATGTGCAGCAGAATGAAAGATCATGTCCTCCTATGATGTCTCTCTCTCTCTCTGCATGTATACCAGCTCAGATCCTCACATAGTTGACTGCACACATTTGACACACTGACTGTTCCCAAAACCTCAGCGTCCCCTTGCTCCTACCCACTACAAGCACCCCACCAACCTTAAACACACACGCACACATTCCCCTTCCTCCGCCAAGCCCAGTTGGTTTGAGTGAGTCTGCTCACAGTGACCTATGGGTGGTAATGATGGGGGAGGTGAGAAGTAAACTGACCCGAACGGATTCTGCTGCTGAAAATGTCAGGAATGCCTACATCACTCATGGAGGCATGCAGGCAGGCAGACAGGCAGACACACACACACACAGGTAGAGAGTTAGAGAAAGAGAGGGAGGCATGCTGACCCGCAAATATAATATGAAAAGTCACTCAAAATGGCAAAATGGCAGTGTTAAATGCATGTGTGTGTGAGTGTGTGGCTGCAAAGCTAAAATAGTGTGTGTTGTGCGTTAGGAGAGGACACAGGGTTCCCCTGAGGAGACTCAGCTGTGCTCTGGGCATGAGCATCTCATCCTGTTACCATGGATCACTGCCTAACGCTGAGCGAAGGAGAGAATATGTGCATGTATGTGTGAGTTGATGTGTGTGTGTTTTTTCATACGTAACCAAATACTCAAAGAACGAGTAGACCGTGGTGAGAGTGAGGCAGTGATCTGTGTCAACCTGGGAAGGCACAAATATACACGCCAACCAACACACACACACACACTCACACACAAGCACCTATTTTGGGTCAGTGCTAAGAGTGCGTTCAGCAGCAGGGTGAGCTCGGTTTAAAGTAGAGCTACTAGCGATCGCTATGGCGGTCAGCAGACAGTCTGCGCTCTCCGCTGTTCAAGCCAACAGACAACGAGGCGAGACAAATCAAACAGAATGGACCGTTTGTTACAATGGAAATAGAATTCAAATCAAATGATGACACAAGCTAGTATATATTATAAGAGCAGGATAATGAAAACAAAGCGTTTCATATTTCATTAGCTCCAAATAACAAATGGCTTTCCTGCTGGATAAGCCTGAAATCTCTCCCATGCCGAGGCTTTTATTTGACTGCTGAGTGGACTATTTCAGTAGCGCCTGGCTGTTAAATCATTTTTTTTTCTTCCCCCTCGAATATCAGATGTATAATTTATTGTATGCACACGGTGTGCCAGAAAAGTGGCTGCCTACTTAAACGTTCATTGAGACAACCGGTCTAAAATTGGCCGACAGACATGCGGGATAGCAACAGCCCTGTGTGGCTAATAGGGTTTCTATGGCAACTGCAGTCGTCCATTTCACCACCTCTTTGCCATCACAGAGCAGTCGTCTCTCTCTCTCTCTCTCTCTCTCTCTCTCTCTCTCTCTCTCTCGCTTTTCTCTATGGTCGTGACAGAGAGAAACTCCACGTGAGGGAATTAAACTTCATCAGGGATTCAGCTTCACTCACAGCAGCATGAACATAATCACACACACACACACACACACGCTCACACACAGGATAACACCCCAGAAAACACACACATGTAGATGGGGCACAGAACAGACAGAATGCAAAGGCACTCGTAGGCAAGCACACACTAAACACGCTGAATGAAACACTTCCCAAAAATCCCTCATGTACCGTTTAGAGAGGAACAACAAGGAAACAAAGAAAGCAACCAGACAGACGTCGGGATGAAGGTGCGACAGAGAGGTACAGAGGGATAACATGTGTTTTGTCTCTGGCATGAAAGAGACGGAATTACCCTGCAGCTTTTAGTTGCATTCATCCACCAGTCACACTACCCAACAACACCTTATTATACCTAAACTCCTCAACCTCGTTTTTTTGTCCCTCTTCTTCTCTTTCTTTTTTTCTCTCTTCTCCTCCCTTCAACTCCCACCGTCTTCTCTTCCGTCTATCCTTCCTTGCTAAAATGGCCGACCTGGAAAACCCTGGCCCTCAGCAAAAATCGCATCACTCCTGTGGTGTAGCTGAACATGCAGACACAAACCACAAACACGCATATGTGCACCTCCCCTGTCTAACACACACACACACACACACACACACACACACACACACACACACACACACACACACTGAGGAGGAAGAGGGGAGGGGTTAGGTGAGATGGAGGATCACTTACTGGCTGTACAGTTTATCCTGATACAGTCTGGAGGGAGAGCAGAGCAGAGGGTTAATGCTGCACACATACAGATACTCTCCACGCCCCTGGGGACGCACACATCGACACACCCTGCACGCATATATATATATACAAACACGCACACACCCGCACACACTGCTGAGAAAACACACACTCTCCTTCGTCACAGGACCTCAAGCTGGACCGTGTATTTTCTTACAACAGTGTGTTGCAAAAATGCAATTTCTGAGACTTTGAAGTTCGGCCAATGAAGAGTGAAATCAGGATCAAGATCTTTACATTAAACAGTAACATGTTGAGGAGAGCGGTGTGTCCCAGCATGAGCAGTGTGCTGATTGGCTGCTCTGGCCTGAGCGACAGTTTCAGTCACCAATAGAAAAGCATCAGGAGACTGAGATGGGTCATGCGTGTCGGTTTGTCTGATGACATCGAACACATCCCATAATTTTTGTCGCCCATCCAGAGCATAAATCTCATAAAGATTTTGCCCCATTATTATACATCGTTTTGTTCTTCATTTACCCATGATGCCTTGGTGTGTCGTGTGGCGTCAACCACAGAAAAGACGCGGCTGCAGACAACCAGAGACCAACTCATGCACCCCTCTGTTAGTCTATGTGTGTTAGCATGTATTGAATTCATGTAAAAGTGTGCGACTGTGAACGAGTGAATCTGGAAATGTGTTTAGCAGTTGTGATTATGTGTGGAGTTTTACTAATTGAGTGTACAGTCTGTGAGTATCTGCATTGATTGTTGAAAGTGTTAGGGATGCACAGGTCCACTGGGAGTGAGCAGAGAATGCAGCTTGAGGCTTGACCCTCTGTTCAACGCAAAAACAATGCCACTAACCTTCAATAGCGTATGTTTGTGTGTGTATTCAAAGATAACCTGTATGTGCCATACAGCTTAAATACCTATAGAAAGTGTACCTACTTTCCAGGGATTATATCATATCAATCAACATTTAATGACATTCCTATGCAAGAAATAGCCAAGAGGCCAGTATCAGCTGCATTCCCCTGGCAGGTAATCAAACTACGTTGGAGAATCCACATAATTGTGTGCATGTGTGTACCTAGGTTGACAGTGAGGCGGACTCGGCCCCCGTCCAGCTCCAGGCGAAGGGTGTCTGCGGAGTTACGGGATGTAGTTGCCATGAGAACGCCATAGGCCCGCTGGGAGCGAAAGCGCAGCGAGACGTCCTCCGCCTCGGTGTGCATCGCCACAGGCAGCTGCACCTTCATAAACTTGCTGCCGTCGTACGACAGGATAGTCGCATCTGTACAAGACGCACAGAGGGGGAACAGAAAGGGAATGAACGGACGGTTAAAAAAAAAAAAAAAAGTGAAAGAAAAGCGGAGGAAGACGGAGATGACGGTGGAGTAGAGCGAGGTGGGTGGACACATAAGATTGACAAGGAGAAAACACATGAGGTGGGAGGAGACAAAGGAAATTTGCCGTTGAGTGAATCAGATTTAAATATGACGAAGTATTTTGCGGCGTGGTCCTTGTTCCCCCATCAGTTTTCATCCTTAATTCATCATCACTCCCTCACAGAAGAAGATGTAAAAATAGCGGCAGCTGGTTGGCCGGCCCCGTTATCCGGTCGAATCAGAATGCACGCCGTTGAGTGTGTTAGCCACCGTCGCTGACATCCCAGACCCTGGAGTCATAATGTAACAAGCTCAGGTGATCCCGCTTTAATGGCTTTTGCATACTCATTTACATATTCATAATCTTCTCTCCCTGCTACCTGCTGGGGCCAATCCCCAACCACTAAACTGTTTACTTCTGAGAACCCTATTTTTTATTGGCCAATTACATACACAGCTAAACACACTCTCTCCATGTCTCTGTGTCTTTATTTCCCAGTCCTTCGTCCCTTCTTCTTATATCTCTCTATTCCACTCCTCCCTCGCTTTTTCTTTCCCTTTCGCTCTCCCTGTTTCCGTGGGAGACAGTTGGAGCCAGGGCAAAAACAAGAGAACAGGAAGAGAGGGAGGCCTCATGAATACTGATGGGCTCGAGAAGGAGGGAAAGAGAGAGATAGTGTGCGTATGTGTTTGTGCGTGCATGTCAGAATAAGTGAGTGAATTTAAGTGTGAACAGAGGAGGGTTTAGTAAAGTGAGAGCGGGGGGGAGAAAATAGGGACAGAGTAAGACAGAGAGAAAGGAGGGGGAGGAGGCAGAAGAGCTCGTGGCTAAAATGTAAATGAACCCTCATTAACTTGAGGGAAAAAAAGGAGGTGGTTGGCCTGTTATATCACAGATAACATAACTAACAGTCACACACACACCCGCCCAAGCACACTAAACACACACACGTGCACAGATTTCTGATGGCTGACTAAATTTTCCTCACCACGGCACCTGAACAAATACCAGGCAGATAGAGCAGGGAGGGTTGGTGAGGAGGAAGTACAGAAGCCCATTTATGCGAGGAAAAAAAAGGAAGACAAAGTGCAATGCACACAGGCCGTGTTGCATACAGTCGCATCATTTAACACCTGGAGCACACACCAGATGTGCCATAAACAGAATAAGTAGTGAAAGGATAAGACACTTCACGCACAAAAAAATCAATTACTCACTCCATATTACCTTAAATTCTTTCAGGGAACTTGGATGTATTGATATTAGTTCTGCTGTTTTTAAAACGGGCCCCATTTATTTAAATCTATCAAGACTTTTCTCTGTTTTTAGATTACCCTGTGGTACTCAGCCCCATAATATTTACCTAAAAACACATATTTTTGATTATTATCTATCATTTAAATTTAAAACCATCATTTTGACTGACTTATTATTAGCTCGCATTTTTTTTATTTTTTGTCAATCTTTAGAAAAGCTGAATTATTTGGGAGCAATATGAACTTTAGTTAAAAGAGGGATGTGTAAAGGTCAACTGTATATTGACATCGGGTTATCCAGAACTATTTGGAGATGGAGAATTGAATTTACTGTGAACAATGAAAGAGTGTAGAAATATTTGCTATATCGTACTGAAAAGGAAGACTCAAACTTTTACAACTGAAAGATTCAGATGAAGTTTTCATACAATTCATCCATTGTTTTATTTTCTTGGCAGGAGTGGGCTTCCATAGGGAAAGCAGGACAAGCAATAAAAAAAAAAAAAAAGGTAACCCACCAGTGTGAACAGCAAGTGAGCAGGAGGAAAGAGCTGAAAATGTGTTGCACAAATGTGTCGCTAGAAATATGTGTGTGTGATCTTTACAAAATAAAAATCCATCTTGGAGCCAGAGCGTGGCGACCATCTTTGTTCATTAAAGAAGCGAGAGAGAGGGTACAAAGGAGAGAGAGAGAGAGAGAGAAGGAGGGAGGAGAAAAAAAGGGAGGGAGAAAAACCGCAGGTAGAAGGCGTAAACACGGCCAATCACTCTCTCCATCTGCTTCTCCATCTGTGCTTCCTTTAATCCACTGAACCACCAGTTAGTGACCCCTCAATGCACACAGAGAGGGATGAAAAAAGACAGAGGAAGGGAGGACAGAGCTAAGAGAAAGAGAGAGAGAGAGAGAGAGAGAGAGAGAGAGGGTGCATTGCTATGATAAACATACACTGTGGATGTTTGTCCTCCGAAATAAAACATTTTCATATCAACACCTTTCAGAAAGTGTGCGTGCGTGCGTGTGTCTATATCTCCCGTTAGATGATAGTACAATCATCACTTGAGACGCGTCAGCAGTTGTGGCACAAACAACATTTCTTCTCTTCTCCTTGTCTGACTCCATCTCGCTTCTTTCAACAGGCCTGTATCAGTCCCCTCTGCCAATCTTTCCTACGTTCAATTTCTCTCGGACTGAATTCATACCTTTTCTCATAACTCTCTCTCTCTCTCTCTCTCTCTTTCTCTCTTTATCCGTCAGACTCTCTACTCCCATCTCCCATTCCTCCTCATCGCCTCACCTGCTGTCATATGGCGGTTCCGGCCCAGTGGTTCCACCCTCCTCGGTCACAGCTCCTGCTCCCCTGCTTTCTGCACATTTCCTCTCCCATCGATTCCCAGTCTCTACATCCATAGCAGTCCAATAGACCTGTCTGCAGCTCTGCTACCTCCCATCTCTTCTCCATTACCCCCTTTTGATCTTCTCCCTTACCTTCCTCCATCTTACTATTGTCACTTTCATACAGAATATGTGTGTTTTTGTCAATGACAGAATATATGATTATTTTGTTGTTGTTGTTGTACAAGCAGGCTTGTTTTGTCCTTGCCCTTTTTCTTTTGATATCCACATTTCTCTAAAGTACCTACTTTCTACCTGCCACTTTCCTTTTCATTTTCACCTTCCTGTTCTCCATCACCAAGGACGAACTTACCTAAACTCAATCTGCAAGAATTTGTATTTGAATAGTTTAGCCACATTTTTATCTGCCATAAATCTGTGTGAGGGTACCTTTTTAGCACGCATCAGAGTAAGTACTAAGTGATGTAATCTGGATCAGGATTGACCTTTTAAAGGAAAAAAAAGCACGACTTAAAGGTATAATGAATAAAGGTTTTATCGCCCAATATAACTGATGATCTTAATATATTTTCAGTGATTGATGGAGTTATTTCTGACTTTAAAACTTTTCACACCATACCATCTGTCTTCCGTCGCTCATCTCTTTGGTATTACTCAATGTTCTCGAGCCAAAAAGCGAATGACAAAGTTGTCATTATGACTGTATTTTGCTTCATGACATATTATTGATTTTTCATAAAATGTTGCTGGATGGTGACTGTAATTAGCCAGTTTTACTCATCTCTATTGTGAAAATGTGACTCGAGCATTTATTCCAAATTACTATACAAGCTGCCAAAGTGTTATTCTCGTCCTTTTCCTCCGCGCCCTCCCGCCACGTCATCCTCACCTCTCTCACAGGCGCGTCCCAGGTATCCCGTCCCAGAGCAGTCGCAGACGTAGCGATTCCACCCCTCCCTGCAGATGCCGTTGTGCTGGCAGGGGTTGGACAGGCACTGTTTGGGCGGCTCTCTCGAGCACGAGGGCTTTACCCCCACCGCTCTCTGGGCCTCGGCCAACCGCCGGATGTCTTTGCTCTGCCCGTCCACAAACAGGTCTCTGATGCAGCCAACGTAACCGTAATTCAACAGAGCCGTCCACACCTGAGGAAGATGTCGCCAGTGTTGAGTAGTTTCACATGAAGGAATTTCAGCACTATTTGTTTCAGCATTTGGTGGTAAAATGAAGCCATAGTAAATCAAGTAGCTTCTTCAAAGCACAGTTAAAAGCTAGAACTGCCAGCTATTTCTTGACTTTTGTGTCACACTTTCACCCTGAGAGCTTACTTGTACTCCTAAATTAATTATATTTCTACTTCAGTGTAACTATTATTAGTAACAAAATTTACTACAAATATTGCATTTCTTTTTTTTGCGATTAATCGGACAATCATTTCCCCGATTAATCAATTAATTGTTCTATCTATATAAATAAATTGAAAACAATAAAAAAAGGTATCACAATATCCTCGAGCACAAGGTGATGTCATCTGATGACATTTTTGCCTAAAAAATGTATTCAAGGATTATTAAAATAGCTGCAGATTAATTTTCAGTTGATCGAATGATCAATCAATTAATCCTCGTCTGCACTCTTGAACAGTGGTATTCACGATAGTTGTCAATAATAATAAGAAAGGTCGCAAAACCATATCATAAAAGAAACAATCAACTTAAAGAAAAGAAACAAACATCAAAGACAAATTGGATATCTCAATGGCAGAAGAGCACAACATGGTTGAATAAATCTAATATAATATAATTTAATCTAAAAGAACAGATGATGGTAACAAAGTTAGACTAATTTAATATAGAGGGTTAGAGTGCCTTACCACGGAAAGTATATCAAACTGCAACTAAGGATTATTTCATTAATCTGGCCATTATTTCCCTAATTGATTGATCATCGTTTGCTCCATAAAAACAAAGACAGTGAAAATGCATCTCACATCTTCTAGAGCTCAACCAACAGTCCAAAATTCCAAAATGCTCAATTTACTATAACAGACAAAAACAGCAAATTCCACCATTTCAGAATCCGGAACCAGAAGCTTGGAAAATAACTTGAACGGTTAGTTTTCTGTCGAGTGATTAGTGAATTAATTGACTGTTTGCTGCAGCAGCTCTATGCTATGGACCTAAGTATTTTGTACTGCAGACACACATCATCAACACACACACACACACACACACACACACACACACCTCTGTAGGGAAAATGAGTCCAGCACGTTCTTCCGGTAGTCCTCCGAGGTACAAAGTCTCATCCAGGTCCAGGATCTCGCTGTCACCCGGAGCCGTGTACGCTGTTCTCACACTGTTCACCGAGATGGTTCCTGGAGACGTCAAAACAACATCAGCAATCATTATGACCTTCAGTGTGAACATCCTCATCACCACCACCGCCATTATGACTACCATCATCATCTTTATCATCATCACCCTTCCCCCTCATCTTTCTACTCCTCCTTCAACATCACCACCACTCATTACTTCTTTAATCAGAAGCAATGGAATGAAACTGGCCATAGTCATCGGTCAGCTCCTCTAAGTCCATACAGGGTTAAAAGTGCTACGTCCAACATTTTGTCACCAATGAATGATTAATCATCTCTTTTTAGACATTGCAACAGTTACAGTAAACGAACAAGATCCTCAAAGAAAGGACTGTCAGCTGCTGCTACTGCGGGTTTCTAGACGGTAATTAATACTGGCATGAAAAATATAATTATACGATGACAAACATTTAAAATCCTGGTGTTGTACATTTGGCTCATGTGTTCAAAGGACCAGGATAGAATACATGTAAGAAGAAACAACAATAGGTATTGTGTGAGTATGTTTTATGCATCGCCCCACAGGAAGCATAAAGAAGAGGCTCCCAACTGCTTTAATCATAGTCTCAGTGTTATCCTAATACCACATTACAATAAAAGTGATACTGTATATCAATTGTGTTAAAACTGGTCCGCATAGAACCCTTACAACCCAGTTTGAATCAAATACAGGCAGCAGACGGGTGGCAGCAGCCGCATGGCCTCGCTAGCCTCGTGCTTACTATAAAAGGCTGAAGCAGAAACCCGCCTACTCATCATCCTCCACCTCCTCCTTATCACCCTCTGTGGTCAGGGTTACCGTCAGAGCTGAGAGAGCTGCGAGTGTACCTGAGCGTCCGTCCCTCTGGAAGTCCACATGATACCATTCTCCGTCGTTGACCTTTCTGTCCATAGCCTTGGTCTTGGTGGTTCCCGAGCCCATGTCCAGCAGCAGGTACAGGTGACCATCCAGCATCTCAATGGCAAAAAAATCCACCTGCAAGTCAAACAGACAAGGTATTAATATTCTGCAACAAGCAGACATGTTGATGGCTAGCAATAAAAATGCAAATTTTTGCTGCAAGTTACAATAAGGTGATTGGGGCTGGAGTCTAACCATTTATAATCAGGTTCTTTGAGCAACCCCATTCGATTTTAGCAAAGACTAGTATGCTTTTTTTTTTTAAACTACATTTGACTCGTGAGGAATTGGGATTTTAACATTTCAGGGACAATCAGGAATTAATGGTGTATAGGAGAGGATGATTAAATGCATCATTTTTTACATCTACCATTCTGGATTTTTTTTGCACGGAGTGAAATCACATACGTTTTTGCTTTCAATAGCCAAATTTGACAACAATAATACAAAATGCTATTCAATTTTGTACAGATATTCATGGTCAAATACCTGCTAAACTAATGACAGTCCCATCAGCCTCAGCTGGACTTTGGGTTTAGTGCTAATTAGCAAATGTTGGAATACTAACACGCCAAACTAAGACGATGAACATCATAACATCAGCATGCTAGCATTGTCATTGTGAACAATGCTGACGTTGTTAGCATTTAGCTCAAAGAATCCCTGTGTCTAAGTCCAGGCTGTGGACAGTTAGTCATGTTTATTTTAGTTTTAAGTTTTCCTGGGTGTTTAAAAAAGATATATATATATTTTCACCTTGAGTGTAGGAGGCGTGCGTGGGTCCTTGCGTTCCTGCTGCCGGGGTTTGCCATGGCTGAAAAGCATCAACCCGTTTGGCTCCGTGGTCCTGAAGTCGAACGAGATCGATCCGGCCTTCTTCGCTGACCACTTGCTCAGTGCCACAAAGGACTCGGGGGTGTCAAAGGTCACGGGGTCCAGCGTGGCCACACTCTCGCACTTAAAGGACACCACCCCACTTACCTGGGGCAGGAAGAGGAAAAATAAATGAATGTTTAGGGGTTCAAGCCTTCATAAAAGTGGCTCGTTAAACTGATGCCCATGTGAACATCAAGACCAAAATGGTTCCTTTGTAGCCTGGGATTGAAATGAAGCCAGTTGCTTCCAGGTGTAAATGGACTAAAAGACAAAAGCTTGGGGCTACCTCTCAAAAACATAATCCCATTTACTTAAAATTCCTACATTACAAATATCACAGGGCCTGACAGGAGGCTGTGATACAAAATAATCTCTGTGTTCTGTGTAAAAGAGGATAATGTTGTACATAATGTTGAAAGTACACACCTTCATCTTTGGGTCTCCCTGTTTAGCCAGTCTAGACAGCTCCAACCGTACATCATTGTTCTTGTACACCACCTTGAGGGGATTGAAGGGAAAAGAATGACACATTTATTCACCTTTGGATTAAATAAAAAACAAGCCTTTATTTTCTTAAACGTACCGTACTGTATATAAATGTTGTGGCACAGATTTGGAATTTTGTCATTTTTCTTTATTTAACCTTTTTAGCAAGCAAGAACAACAAGACACACTTTGATCAACCTTTTCAGAAGTCAGAAAAGAAGAGAATGCTGAAAAGATAAAGAGGGAACAAGACACCTAACATATGACCAGACATCCATTAATCTTTCAACTCAGAAAACATATAAGTGTTTTTATATGAAAGTGACAACCTTTAAAGCAGCGAGCCACTCCAGCCTCATCTTAACTCCTATTCGTTCCTGCCGCTAGCAGGATCGCTTCTACTCTCTCTCCTCTGCCCTTTTCTGTTTGTCTCTCTTTCCTTTCCCTGACACAGTACGCTCTCTGACTGAGCAGCATAGAGTGTAACGAGTGTGCTTGTGCTGAGCATTTTGATGTCGAGAGAGATGGGCGCAGACAGGCTCGGCTTTATTAATCCAGACCTCTTTCTATGACCTGTGAGCAACTCGGCAACATCACAACATTTCCTCTCTGTATTGGCTTTTCACGTCTGTTTTGAATTTTTTTTTGTATATCATGTGCTTTCGTATCTGCGTGTACGGCAATGAGTGCGATTCTTCACTAAAAGTGCTGCAAGTGTGCAAAATGGTGTTAGCATGCGCGCGTGAGTGTGCCTGCGCCGCACCAAATGCACAAAATTGTTACAGCCGCGATCGCTCATGCGCATGATTCACTGCATACATCTTAATTTGCTCACATGGATTATCATATCATCGTATTAAATATGTAAATGTGTCAGTGGAGGGTTCACTATGACAGCGGCAGCCTCGTTTAAATGCCATCAGTCTTAATGAAGCAACACAGAGCGCGCATTCACCACCGATACAGATAGCTCTCTGTTTAGCACATCATCTGTCGGCTTGTTTGGTTGTTTGTTTATGCCTCTGCGTGAGTCTGTTTAACTGAAAGGGAGACTCCGGCTGTGTGTGTGTGTGTATATAATGGGGGTGACAATGTATTTGTAAGTTTTGTTGTTGTATCAGGTGCCGTGTGTGCATTTGTGTGTTTATTTTGCTTGAATATTTTTGTCGGTGTGCTTTGGTGGGGGTAATTGTGCATTTCAGCACATGTACGCACATGCACACGTCTGTGCGCGCTAAAATCGAGCTTATACGTATGTGTAAGTGTATCAGTGTGTTCTCGTCAGTGTGTCATGTGAGTTTTTGTTGTTGCAGTGTTGTAGCCCATTTCAAGCACAGCGGATGGATGGAGCATCTCTGTGGTGTAGCTAATTAGCATGATAGTGCTTAGTGCTGTATCTACTCCCTCAACGACACTCATCACTGATTCTCTCTGATGCTGGGGAGGGCGTGTGTCCATGTGTGTGTGTGCCAAATGGACGCATTTCTGTGTATGTGTGTGCGTGTTATCTTTATAAGATAATGTGTGTAGAATGTTGGCGTGATGTGTGACAGAAAGGGAAGGAAGGAAGAAATAAAGTAAGAAAGTAAGAGAAAAAGAAGATATGAGTTTCTTAAAACTTAAGAGTATAAAAAATCTGTGCAGCATGATTGTATGAACTAATTAAATATTTTTACTCAATGTCTTTCAGTGGAATTACATTGTGAAGAAATGATCACATGCAGATTATATCAGCAGCTCATTCAGTCTAAATTCAGTCTAATTAAATAATTCTGAGCAAATTGTAGTTAATATTCTGATATAAAACAGTTTGACTCATCTATATGTAAGTTTGCAAACATTTGCCTTATTGCAGTATACTGGAAAAAACACACATGCGTTCATCATGCAAACATCCCACCTCTTTGAGACAGCCCATGAAGTTATTGCTGACTGGAGAACCGGGCAGGTCGGCGGTGCTGGGGCTCCCTCCCACGTAGAAGAAGTCGTCAGAGCCCAGCATGGTGTAGTCCTCTTGGGTGTAGCCCGTGGTGGTCAGGATGCCGTCCACAGAGATGGTCACCTACACAACAAAGCACAGGGAAAGGACACGCTATATACTCACACCAAAGGCAGCGCTAAGCGCTAGCTCGGCGCTGACCAGCCAAATTAGCCCCCGTTACTCTGGTAACCAATGTGTATGCATTGTGGTGGGAAGAAGGCCTGATTGGTTTGGGGGAATTGGCTAGTTGTGCTGTTGGGACTTTGTTTTGGTGTGGATCAGTGCTAAATGTGTGGTGTAATCGAGTGATGCTGCCTCTCGCCTTTGCTTGTATTACTGACATTGGAAATATGTTGCTATTTACTGCTGAATGCCACTCGCTCACTCTGCCCACAGTTAGTAAAACACTCTGTAGCACCTTCTACCACTTGTGTACTCCAACAGGAATCAGACCATGTGGTCTGCCTGCTTCAATCTGTCTAAGTCTATTGGTTAGAACAAAAAACTAGATCCTGTAAGTGATTAACAAAGATTCACTGATCTCCAAATCTTCAGTGCCACCACTGGTGGACTGTGACTCTTCACACCCAAAGTACAAAACAAGTCTGTCATTCTGTCCCTGCATTGCACTGACTTCCCAAAACCGACTATCAAAAGGCTATCTACATCCTCTATGTCCGCGAATGCACCTTTACATTAAAAGTTTTCCTCCTTATGTGTCTGCCGCAGACTCTAAGCTATTTTATCTTAAAAGTAGAAGATGTAGATTTACTTCCTAATATACTAACAACTTTCCTTAATGCTCCACCTAAAGTGAACCTGATGCTGGTACTCTTATAATCTAACCAGCCTATTCTGCTGTATAATAGCCGGCATGGGGCTTTTAGCTTACACTTGTTCCCCAACCCTGTCACATAAATGCGTCAGAGTTAGTGGTATGTTATTACCCTAATATTCTACAGTACATTAATGACCATGTTCAACTGCCCATAAAGGTTGTGAGTGTTTACTTTCCATCTACAGTGTCTTCTCTCACTGACGGTGCTTATCATTGCCGGGCAAACTCGCCCAGCCAGTCAAGTGTTAGTAAAGTCTCCGCAGGCTTCTTCGTGCTTTTCAGTAGGTGTTAGTACTATTTGCTTGTTAGTAGATGTTAGTTGTTGCACTGCTGGCAGCCGCAGTAGTGCTACTTGTGTCAGGCCAAGCTGTGTTGGGTTACTGAGGTTAGGGTTAATGGTTCCAATGCTGTTAGTAGTTGCGATGATGTAATGTTTGTTGTGTTGTTAGGGTGAGTTGTGATGATGGTGTTAGTTGGTTAGTTTGTGGTCTGTAGGGGGGTTTGTTAGTTCAGTGATTCCGAATGATATGTCACATGAACGAACACAGACATATTGATGTACACACACAGGTGTTAGATGGGTTAGGGCTCATTCCACACGTACACATACGCACATACATATAAATAAATATATATATGTACATATATATATAAATAAACATGCAGCCTGTTCCTCTCTCTTCTGCATGCAACCACTGGCAAAGAGGACACAGTAGATACAAAAACCGAGGACAGGATGAATCAGTGGCACCATGGAGAACATGCAGTGGCAGAGTGGAGGACTGAAAATCCAAACAAAGAAAAAGAAAGAAAAAAAGAGGAGGGAGGAGGGAACTCTCTATCCATTTTATGGACCAATCAGAGAGGGGAAGGGCTTCTAAGTCACGCCATGCAGGAAGGGGGGCTCGCCATTTGCGTGCAGGTGAGGGATGAGCCAATCAGTACACGCCTACATGTCAGTCACAGAGAGATGGGGTGAAAAAAACAGTAGAGAAGGGGGGAGGGGGGGATTTAAAGAAAAAAAAGTGGTTGGCAAGGAGAGGGGGGGGGCTTTTTAAGCGTAAAAGATTACCAACCGCATTTATCCTTTTAGTGGTTTAGTTTTGAAGTCTATGGTTCAAAAAGGAAATAGACACGGGGCAAACCCAAACTAAGAAACAATTAGAATGATATCTACCGAACAATGGAGTTTGTTTACCATAGCGTGTCCAATGCCTGAGTGCTTTGTAGGAGAGGGGGAGAAAGGAAAGCAAAAAACTGTGAACAGAACAACTTCGGGAACAAAAAAAGGAAAGCTAGAAGGCCTCTGGTGTGGTTAGTAGGTTGGTTGGAGTGGTTTCGCTAGGAGAAGGGCACAGGTTAGGTTAGTAGAATGAATCATTCCATGGATGGTGGTTAGTTAGTTTCACTAGCAGGTTAGTAAAGTTAGTAGTCAAGTTAGTAGTACAAACAGGCAAACGGTAGAGGCAGGGCACAGGTGGGTTACAAGCACCTGAGTGCTATTGAACCTCATAGTTCTCTAGTTCACTCTCTCTCATTCACTCACTCACTCACACACACACACACACACATATACACACACACGATTGAAAGATCACTCACCTAGAGCTGAAAGCAGTGCTGGTCTGGTGGTTAACCCACTGTAAACTAAGACCAAAACCTCAGGTATTTTCTTCCTACCACAGCATCACTGCGGATGGACAACAGACCACTGACCGTAGCTTCTACATTGATTAGTTTCTTGCTGCGGACTAAAGTCTTTTTCTGCTGCCCACTGCCCCTGAAACATCTGCAGCAATCACTGTGGTTCACCAAAGTCAGACACACACTGAAACTATTTAACAAGGAATTATGAACAACATTGCAGCTAACAACCGTTTCCATTTTCACTAATAAATTAAAATAAGAATAATTTAGTCAGTAAAAATGGAAAACAGACAAAAATGCCCATCAGTTTGCTCGAGCTCAAGTTTTTAAAATTCTTGTTCAGTCCAACAAAAAGTCCAAAACCCAAATATATAAAATGTACAATTATAAAAAACAAGGAAATCAGGAAATCCGCATAATAGACGAGCAGAAACAAGCTAATTGTTGTCAATAATCTTCCACTGATTTACAATCATTTCATAACTAACTGAAATCCAAGCATGCTTCCATCCATTCCTTAATCTACGACTTGCTATCTTTTTTTGTCCCTCCCTATGACGCTTCGCATCTTTCTTCTTCAAGGCTTATCAATATCCTTTCATATCTCCTCGCCCCTCCCGTTTGCTCGGTCGCTCCCTCCTCCACCTCCTGTCTGTCTGGTTACCTGTCTCAGGTTGCGGGTGACCTTGACGTCGTGCCAGGAGTTGTCGTTGAACTTGCCGTTGACGGGCTCCACCAAGGCCTCGAAGGCCCCGGAGCCGAGGTTGATGACAAGCGACACGGCTCCGTTCTTCAGTGCTAGGTTGACGTAGTCGGCTGACTTGCCGGTGTGAAGCATCAGGCCGTTGCGTTGCAGCGTCTTGAAGGATAGTGTGATTTCATCGCTGCTCGACTGGATGGGGTTGGGCGACAAGTCGTAGCAGAAGAACTCAGAGCCCTTGAAGGTGGCAACGTACTCCTCGCGAGCTGAGACAGAAAGGGAGAGGTGGAAGAGGGAAACAGGGAGGAAGAACAAAGACGTGTGGAGCCATTAGACTCTTGTTTAACATTATTATAATGATGACTACAACATCCAAGCTACATTGCTTCTTCCCACACTGCTCGAAGACGATAAAATGGTGGGTGTTCATACGAGCCAGCCGAGTAAAACAAAGCTCTGCTGGGCCTGGTTAAATTTGATTTGGATGTGCAGTACAAAACATATTGTTCAAGATGCTGAAAATGTTGTTATTGTCAAGCAAAGCCGCACTGATGCCAGCACTTGGAAGAAACACTTCCTTCCATACCTCTAATCGTACATGGAGTGGTGTGTAAACAAGCTTTGATCACTCATGTGGGTTGGAGATTAAACAGTGTGGATTCGAGAGAGACAGTCGTGAGTCTGTAGCGTTCCAAACTCGTTATGAAACCTGCCATCCTCCCTTTTGAGAGAACAGCTGTGCTGGCAGTCGGAAGTGATGCGGTCTTGTTTGACAACATGGCTCATTTCGTGATGTTCATTAAAAGCAAGAATGTGTGTGTCTGCGTATGTATGTATGTATGTGCGCAGTAGCAGTAGAGGTCGGAAAGGTTTTCGAGAAAGGATGAAGATGGCGAACGGCAGCCTGTAAGTGTCGTGGCAGCCGAAACAGGCAGGACTGGCCGATTACAATTCAGAATAGGAAGCAGACATCCAATGGCTACTTACCTTGCACACACTGAGTGACCCCCAAGGACACCAGACCAAGGTTTTGCAATCCATCATCCTTAAGCTCACACTCCCTTATCTACTCTCTAACACAGAAATGCACAGCCATACACGCAAGCCAACAGAGGAACAAATATGCACACCTACACACACATCTGCTGAAAAAACAGATCATACTATTGTGTTGGCATGCACAAGCAGGGGCGACATTATCTGTCTCCTTCACCCTCTCCAGCATCACCCTTCCTCCGCATTCCTTCTAGCATTCTCCTCACCACCATGCCTATAGCTCTCACACCTCCCGTTAAGCTTCACGCCGCCATTCACACTGCACGTCTTGTTGGCCTCCTTTTCTCTGCTCCGTGGAGCCTCTGGCATAAACTTGTAGTTCACGATAATGAGGAGAACAAGAGGGGAATTTAACGCGCACCCACTAGGCCAGGCTGGAGATGACAGACACTTGGTGAGGAACCTCTGGAGAGGAAGGGATGGGGGGGGGGGGGGGGGGTTGCCATGTAATGAATAGACTGAAGTGTAATAGGTTATTAAGGTCGTGAGACGGAGAGAGAAGAGAGCGCTGAAATGGAATTGGCCGCACTTGAGTGAATATAACACGGAGAGAATAATGAGAAGGAAAAAGTGAGAATATATCACAATTCAAAGAGCTATCGTGGCAAATTTTCTTTCTTTGCTTCTGTTGCATGAAAAAAAAAAAAAAGTGCGAATGCCAGTATATGAGTGAGAAACAACAAGTTGTATGCCAGCATGTGTGTGAGTTCCCCTAGTGTGCGATGCCTTCCCTCCCAGCATGTTAATTAAGAATGTGTGTGTGTGAGCGCATGCCTCGAAAAAAAGAAAAAGGAGTGTGTGCAACTTGTGTTCAAGCATGTGAGTGTGTGCGGAAAAATATAGACTTTTTTATGTGTGCATGAAATGGGCGGCAGGGGTGTGGGTGGGTGCTGGTCTCTGTAAATATTGGTGTATTGCTGTCAGAAAAGCTATTACTAACTCAGGGCCTCGGGCTAGTCTTTACTGAGAGGAACGAGAGCGAGGAGAAGGAGGGGGACACACAAAACACACACACACACACACACACACACACACACACAGAAAGAACAGCCACAACCGCTAACACAATCAGACTGACACACACAAGCAGACACGTAGACAAATGTAGATGAGGTGGCGGAGTGAGCCAAGTTGTTCACAATGAGAACACACGCAGCCGTCCAGCAGCATTCTAGCGGTAATTTACAGAGGTGCCATTAGGTTTCAGTGTGCTGCTCCGCCATTCTGTTGCTAATTTACAGACGTGTCATTAGACCAGACAGGAGCACATAAAGCATCTGCATCGATCTGGATGCTCTGGCCCGCAACAACAACAACGGGCGTACACACACACATCAGGCACCGAAATGCTTATTGGGTGTCACAAACGCCACGGAGAACATGTGTCGTGCAAGCATGTATTCAGTGTGCGGACACACCTTGATACACACACACACACACACACACACACACACACACACAGAAACACGCACGTTCTCAGGTGGGCAGGTTGGAGTGGATCTGTTGTAGCTCAGATTAATGGAGTGAGTCAGTATTAGCTCAGAGTAAATAGTGAGACAGACACTGACATACACACCGCATGTCACTCTTCATCCTGTGGAGAGCACTGTCGATCAAAGCGGGCGAGCAGGGCGATGAAGGAATACAGAGAAAGGGAAGAGAAAAGCGGAGGAAAGGAATGGAAAACTCTCAAGCTAATTCATATTGCCCTTGTCATTGTCTTCTTACTCGTTGTTTGACGAATGGTTTCTCGTGGGCCGACTGCGTGGCTGTAAGTTAAATCTTCGACTGTAAATGTTTGTCATTGTTCTCAGTTCAAACACGGCCTTGATCTTAATGACATTACGCGGTTAAGTAAAGGAAAAAGGATTCTCTCAAGCTCGGTTCTTTCTTCTCCTGTGGATATTTTAACGCTTTATAATCTTTTGTTTTTTATGACTTGTGTTGTTGTTTCTTGATTATTTATTGTTGTCGTCTGATTGTTGGTTGTCTGACTTTATAGTAACAGCTTCTAAAATAATGCTGGGTGTGAGGTTGTATAAGGTCTGACCATAGTACTATAGTTGTTCATTTAACAGAAGATTGATTGACAACACCTGTAAGAATGAATTTACTGTCTTTTATAAAGCAAAAACACCCGGTATTTGTCAGCTCAAGCTTCTGAAATATGAGGATTTGCTGCTTTTTTCCGTTATAAATATATCATCCTCAATTGAATATGGTAAGATTTTGGGCGGTTAGAACGACAAAACAATAAATGTGATGTAATTTGTGGTTCTGGGAAATTCTGATTCTTCCACTATGTTCTAACATTTTTTTTAGCAATTTCAAGCAATTGAGAAAAACGATGAACTGCCACAGTCTAAGTGGTACTGATGAAGTTCTCTAGTTGCAGCCTCATCTGGCGAAAAAATGTTTTTGTTTTTCTCAGCTCTCCCTTGAAAAACAGATCTTAAACTCACTGAGACAATCTGATTAAATTAAGTTACTAAATGAAGGGAAATAAGGAAAGGAAAGCAGGAGGAAAGGAAAGGAAAGGAAAGGAAAGGAGGGAGGGAGGGAGGGAGGAAAATGTGCACAGAACTACGGGAAAGAAGAAAGAAATGAGTAACTATATGGAGCCTACAGTGAGAACAGGCAAGAATGTAAAGATTGAAGGAGGATTGGCATTCACATCTGAAGGCTATGATTAAACTACTACTCTAATGGATAAAGCAGCATGTGGAGAGGCAGGAGGGAGAGAGTGAATAACTGATCTGATGGTTGCTGCTACTGGGACCAGCTGGAACCGTACCGCCCCTCCGACTATCAAACACACTTAGATTGCTCTGTGTGCATAAGGCAAGTGTGTGAGTGTGTGTCTCATATGGCTTTGTCTCTTCTCATGGGTTTCCTCCTCAACATTTCACACACTAATTTGTCATTTCCATGGCAACCCTGTGTTACAGGGGCTCAGCAAACGCGAATGTGTTCCTGCATGTGTGTTTCAGGGAGAGAGAGAGAGGAAAAGAGATGGAGAAGGAGGGCGAGAGAGAGAGAGAAAGAGTGATTGAGTGAACAGTACATTATCATGGACAGCTGTACTGAATCAAAATGGCGGATGGAGGCTGGGAGCACATCAGGGGAGCCTACATTATACAGCACCTGATAGAGGGAGCAGGGTGGAAAAGATGCAGGGTCGAGAAAAAGGGAAAGATGCAGAAGGGGGACTTTGAAAGAGGAAGGGATATTAAAAAATAGGGGGGAGACGGAGAGACTCATTGAGATGGGTGACACAAAATGGAAGAGAAAGAAGTAGAGGGGTAGAAAGAGAGACAAGCAAAGGGAGTGGCAGCAAACCAGGGATGGATGGCTAGAGAGAACGAAAGAGAGAAAAATGCTGGTGTATCTAAATCCTAGTGTAGCAAGCCTCAATCATGGCAGCCCTGTCATTCTGGAGATAGCACACTGCAATTCCCCTGCACCTCGTTTTTAGCCCACCATGCAGTTCTGCTATCAGCTCCTCTCAGACTGTCCACACACACACACACACACACACACACACACACACACACACACACACAGACACACACACACATATATACACAGCATAAACTCAAACATCCTGCATGAAGGCATCTCTCCTTAATAACAGACAGGTGGATTAACTATGCACTCATACAGTATACAGATAGATGACCAGTGAGAGAAATGTATGCAAATGCATGCTAACATATGCATAGTCTCTACATTAAGTTAAAGTGTGAAAATCCACACAAGCCAAGTTCACGAAAGGCTACGACTGCCGTTTCCATCTCTATTCGGTGATATACAGCATCTGGCGCTGAAACCGATTGGGCTATCACATCACAGCCAAGGGAGCAATACTGTAGAGGAGGATATTACTGTCAGGACACCAGTGACAGATCGTCCGTCTGCAACGTTGAACTCCCGTTCCTTGTTTTGTTGTTGTTGTTAAATTGAAGGCATTCATTTCTAGCACAAGACATTTAAAAACACAGCCTTCGCAATTGTTTTCATAATGTTTGAATGTATTAATTATTTTCTCGGTTAATTGATTTAATTGTGTCGTCACATTTTGGCCACTTTTAATCGATAATCAAGGTAGTTCCTTTTCTGCTTCAACAAAAATATAATCTTCATGTAATTGTAAAAAACGCCTGTCGCAGTTTCCAAGAGTCCACTGTGATGTCTTCGAAACCCAAATATA